CACATTTCCCCTCGTCCTACTTTTCCAAACGTCAACAACACATCTCATACATCCAGTTCGCTGATTAACCCTTGTACCACGTCTACTGGATGACCTGGCGCCTAGTACGTTCGGGCATTTTTATGCGCGAACTCTTAGGGTTTTTTTTACTGGCATGCGCACAGGTACTATTTCTTTTTCTTTTAACAAGTACCCAAATCGGGGATTTCGTGCGGAGGTAGTTCGGAGGTAAACAATCTGTGAAGTACAACACTTGCCACTGTACCTGTGTATCGCTAATTATAAACCGAATGTGTGAAGACAGTTCATACATATCACTCAAAAAATTTTCAGTACAAACTCAGTTGATTCACGCTCGATTTGCTACTAAACAAACCCATCGGTTTATTTTCTCAACAGTGTGACCCGAAGTGACCGCGGATTTATTGACCTTGTATGAACATATCCATAGCTATATCCTTACACCGAGAGAAATTATCTAGTCTCGGTGAAAAGAACCATGGTCATCTGGTAGAAAATTACTTTTGTATTTTTTTGGAACGGAAAACAGTGTTTTTAGAAGCAAACTAACCTGCCGCACATGAGGAAGTCATTATACTAATAATAAAAGGCGAGACCTCTTTTTGCGGCGCAGGCTTATCACTGAGTAGTAAACCGTCCACAAACAATAATATAGGAAGCCTAGTGACGAGATTACTCGCTTTCAGTTTACTCTGTTTTTGCGATAACCAATTATGTGAGAAATACCATACTGACATTCGGTTTTTAAAAGTTGTACGCCAACTAAATGCGTTTGTTAGATACTGACAGAGCAGCCCCGAGTCGAACAATCGCCGCCCGAGCTGTCTTCGTCAGCTAGTTTCACAATATCGTGCAATAGGTGTATTAATGTGATTTTTAGGTTTAACCCCGCAAACAATGCCAAAATAGTGTTTTCACTGCTTACAGAAAACTGAAATTTAAAAAAAAAAATTTTTATGAGGGTGACCCTCCCACACACTCCCTATCGAGCTGCCGCTCGGTCTGCGCAGCCTCATGCCTGGCACATACTGTCAACATTGTATATTTTTCCGTTTCCGCCCTTCCCCCCCACAATATATATTTCACGGCTACGTTGCGACGGTACCAGCATACCCAGTTGTTGACACCCATTACATCACTCCTGTCTAACAAATCATAAAGCTGTGGTGTTACGGTGGCGGCATAGTATTTCACCGTAACACCACAGCCACTCTAACCATTCATAATACATCTAACTATCCCTTTACAGCACTTCACTCCCTACACATTTCCCCTCGTCCTACTTTTCCAAACGTCAACAACACATCTCATACATCCAGTTCGCTGATTAACCCTTGTACCACGTCTACTGGATGACCTGGCGCCTGGTACGTTCGGGCATTTTTATGCGCGAACTCTTAGGTTTTTTTTTTACTGGCATGCGCACAGGTACTATTTCTTTTTCTTTTAACAAGTACCCAAATCGGGGATTTCGTGCGGAGGTAGTTAGGAGGTAAACAGTCTGTGAAGTACAACACTTGCCACTGTACCTGTATATCGCTAATTATAAACCGAATGTGTGAAGACAGTTCATACATATCACTCAAAAATTTTTCAGTACAAACTCAGTTGATTCACGCTCGATTTGCTACTAAACAAACCCATCGGTTTATTTTCTCAACAGTGTGACCCGAAGTGACCGCGGATTTATTGACCTTGTATGAACTTATCCATAGCTATATCCTTACACCGAGAGAAATTATCTAGTCTCGGTGAAAAGAACCATGGTCATCTGGTAGAAAATTACTTTTGTATTTTTTGGAACGGAAAACAGTGTTTTTAGAAGCAAACTAACCTGCCGCACATGAGGAAGTCATTATACTAATAATAAAAGGCGAGACCTCTTTTTGCGGCGCAGGCTTATCACTGAGTAGTAAACCGTCCACAAACAATAATATAGGAAGCCTAGTGACCAGTGTAGTAAGTAGGCTATAGACTATAGGTTTGAGTCAAGATTACTCGCTTTCAGTTTACTCTGTTTTTGCGATAACCAATTATGTGAGAAATACCATACTGACATCCGGTTTTAAAAGTTGTACGCGAACTAAATGGGTTTGTTAGATACTGACAGAGCAGCCCCGAGTCGAACAATCGCCACCCGAGCTGTCTTCGTCAGCTAGTTTCACAATATCGTGCAATAGGTGTATTAATGTGATTTTTAGGTTTAACCCCGCAAACAATGCCAAAATAGTGTTTTCACTGCTTACAGAAAACTGAAATTTAAAAAAAAAATTTTTTATGAGGGTGACCCTCCCACACACTCCCTATCGAGCTGCCGCTCGGTCTGCGCAGCCTCATGCCTGGCACATACTGTCAACATTGTATATTTTTCCGTTTCCGCCCTTCCCCCCCACAATATATATTTCACGGCTACGTTGCGACGGTACCATCATACCCAGTTGTTGACACCCATTAAATCACTCCTGTCTAACAAATCATAAAGCTGTGGTGTTACGGTGGCGGCATAGTATTTCACCGTAACACCACAGCCACTCTAACCATTCATAATACATCTAACTATCCCTTTACAGCACTTCACTCCCTACACATTTCCATCGTCCTACTTTCCCAAACGTCAAATACATCTCATACATCCAGTTCGCTGATTAACCCTTGTACCACGTCTACTGGATCATCCGTTTGATGGTTTAATTCACTGACCATTTATTAGTTAAATTTAAATCTTCATTAGAAATAATCCCCTGATAATACACCGAGAAAAGGTCATTAATAAAATAATTTCATTTTCCGGCAGAATCTCAAATTGTGAATTCCGATGACACGTGACATCAGTTGGAATTGGGTCAATAAACTTACGATGCTAGCTTTAGTTTTAAATGGCGTTCACCGTTATGATTATTTTATTTCATACACAGTGGTTCATTTTAAAGTAGCTAGGTCTCTAACTCAATATCATCCAAAGTCTGTGACATTGATAACACGAATTATTTGTCAATGTAAATCAACATTGGTGTTGTGATCATACCGGGAAAAGGTGGGCTTCAGTTATACAATATTCAAGACAAAATAAACATTTACCACTGGTCACCGTGTACCATAATGCGTTTCAGCGCTATTTGTAACAAGGGACTCGAAGAACGAGGCTAGACATATACCACAAGTCATGTCAAACGGTGACCCCATATTCTTGTCTGGATAGCATGCGCAATAGATACTATTGGCGTAGACTGAAATAACCAGACGCTAGAGGTTGCCATTCGATTGAGACGTTTGGCGTACTTCGCCAAATATAACTGATTTGAAATCAGAGTAAAAACGGAAACGATTGAGTGTAAATCAGTTTATTTACATTCATATTACATTATTATACGCATTGCGACCCATTTGTGTCAATTTCTAGGGGCCAAATATTAGCCATTTAACTCCTTTAAAAAATTGTCGTTATCATTGACGGCTATGTGGCATAGTCGTACGAAATATTATTTTAAAGCATTTTCTATTTTGGTTGTCACGCGTTCCTTGATCCAACCATCGACCAATGAAAATTTTTTTTTGAAAGTTACGTGATCGACAAAAACTACAAGCTGGTTTATGAAGAAATGGTATGTGGTATGAAGAAATGTCATGTGTTATGAAATGCCATGGTGCCGTACCAGCTTATTTTGGCTACGGCATTTTCTGATACTGACAGTAGTAGTAGAAAAATCTTATTTCGATCGACTGATGAACGGTTTATTACATCGAATAAACGAAGACTGTAATTTATTCAGAAATATTACTGATGTGAACTTCAAGTCGGTACGTAAATTAAATATGGAAAATATTTCGAAAGGTGTACCTATTTTTGTGGTAATCACATACAATACATTGAAAGTTACGTGATCGACAAAAACTACAAGCTGGTTTATGAAGAAATGGTATGTGGTATGAAGAAATGTCATGTGTTATGAAATGCCATGGTGCCGTACCAGCTTATTTTGGCTACGGCATTTTCTGATACTGACAGTAGTAGTAGAAAAATCTTATTTCGATCGACTGATGAACGGTTTATTACATCGAATAAACGAAGACTGTAATTTATTCAGATATATTACTGATGTGAACTTCAAGTCGGTACGTAAATTAAATATGGAAAATATTTCGAAAGGTGTACCTATTTTTGTGGTAATCACATACATTAGAATACGACATTCTCAATAACAAATTAACCAAAAATATTTTCTTTTTGAAGACTGATTATATTAAAGGGAATATAAGCTTATAGCTTATAATTATCCTATTTCCTACCAGGACCTTATTTGACCCAAATCTGACCGGTTCGTTTCAAAATGGATTAAGAACCCTTCTGCAGACCACACTAATTATCAACCGATATCCACGAAACTTACAGAATATGAAAACATCATTAATATGTCACCATAGGCAACATTTCGACCACTTCCGTTTAGCGGTTTTTGAGATATTAGGTTACGACACGTTTCATGTGGCACGGCTGCAGACCGCAATATATATTCAACCGATTTCAATGAAACCTACACATTATGATAACATTAATAAAATCTCAGTACAGTTTATTTTATGTAGCCGTGCCACATGAAATGTGAGGTAATCCCATATTTCGAAAACCGCTAACCGGAAGTGGCCGAAAATTTGGCTATAGTGAGATATTTTTAATGTTATCATAATCCATACGTTTCATTGAAATAAGTTAATAATTAGTTTATACTTTAGTATCATTAGATATCATGGATGTGAAGTGAACCAATACAATAAATTTTATTCAAATCAGTTTTAGTTACTCATAAAACCGAACACATCTTTCGCAGAGGCCGATAAAATGATTATTGAATTTTAATGTGTATCAACTATCGTAAGACAACCTAACACGAGAAACGATTTGACTTCAACCGGGAAAGATGCCTTTTCCCTGTGTAGCCTAATACATCTGTTATAGTTTCATTGTGATGCTTTATTGTTTCAGCTGCTAATGAATAGTGATGGCATCTAATTAAATTGGATGTGGTAATATTGATTTAAGTGTGAACGTGGGAGTAGAAAATTCCATTGAATGTGTGCAATACGAAGAATAAACACACCCGAATAAACGTTCAGTAGTGTAGTGGAGGAATGTGTTATAATCAGAAGAGTGAAAAATAATATAATGGCGTTTAAATTTTATTATAAATATTTATCTGTTTGCCTAATTGGACTTTCAGTAATTTTCTTGATAGTAAAACAAACAGGTAAATATGATTTTAATTTAGTTTACTCAGCCCGTTCAGACGGACAATCTTAATAGTAATAAATAAAGGGAATGTAACTATAAATACAAATTATTCTTATTTATTTTTTTATAAAAAATATTTTATTTATAAAGGAATGGGATTGTCCTTTTTAACCCCTCTCCTGTAAATATAAACAATTCAACTTTAAAATAAAAGATATGCAAGTATAATAAAAAAAAAAGTGACATTTACACGTTTAGTAGATTAACTTATGTATAATGTGCTTCACTATAATAATGATTAGAAATTCCTAATTTTAAAGTCGTTTGGAGATGTCGAAATCTGAATGAACTTTTTCAAAAATTTTGTTTGGTTTTGTTATATTTTTAGTCCCAAGACACACATACGGAAGCCCCACCCCACCATCTCTCAGCCCCTCACATATACCCCCACCTCCACCAACAAATGAAAGGGCAATCGTACGTTTTTTCAATTATAATTACGAACAAAATAAATGATCTGAAATTGATTATGACAGGTTATGTTGACAGCAAAAAGGAAGTAGCATTGGCACCGGAAGCAGACATACACAACCAACCTTTCTTTAGAAATAATGCATATATACGATTCACGTCACATCGAAGTACTATTTCTACAACTGCTACATTTGAGGTAAATTTTTAAAATATAAAATAAAAATTCGTAAACACTGTGAGCATGCCAGCAGAAACTTTTAATTAGTCCTTCTTGCCAGAAAATTCAACAGAAATTACATTTCATGTTTTCGATACGTGGTGCATGTGTGTGTGTGGGATTATGTGTGTGGGTGTGTGTGTAAATGGGGGTTGGCGGCAGGGACGTAAATGTGGGGGGAAGATTACCCAGAAAAAAAAATAGTCGGTCGCAAAATCAGTGCAGTCGGTCGCAAAATCAGTGCAGTCGGTCGCAAAAGAAGAGCAGTCGGTATCAAAATAAGTGTTCACTACATACGTCACGCTATTCATGAAAAACATTAGTATAAAATAACCTTGTCAACTTATCATGTTTGAAAAAATGTTGTGTTTCACTCTTATTCTGTTGTGAGTATGTTTGTCTAAGAACAAAATTTCCCCCAGGGAGAAAAATAGTCGGTCTCAAAATAAGTGCAGTCACTGCAGTCGGTCTAAAAAATTATGCATACGTCACACAAACTATAGTATAAAATAACCATGTCTGCTTGTCATGTTTGAAAAAAGTTTTTGCACTCTTATTCTGTTGCATGTTGTTCTAAGAAATGTTTTTCCCACATGGTAAAAAAATAGTCGGTCTCAAAAAGAGTGCTCACCGCAGTCGGTCTCAGACTAAATGAATTAATGAGGTAAACAAACAATGCCAAAATAGAAGGGAATAATTTTGTGTCAATCCGTGCACCTAAATTGCAACGGTATAGTATAAAATAACCTATAGTCAGCTTGTCATGTTTGAAAAAAAATCCTGTTATGGGTATGTTGATCTAAGAAATTGAATGAGTTTGTTACGAAGATTTTGATATTTCAAAATATATTCTTGATTGTCATACGAATAATATTAGTCGAGCAGTTGGAAAGAAGTTATCGGAAGTATAGTTTGTTTTAGAAATACGTAAAAAAAATCTTTAAATTATGAAATTTTAAGGCGAGCTATTGTACTTAGGAATTTTTACTTGTTGCATATTCAATCCCAGGAGAAATTGAAACATATTTGACTCATGTTGTAAGTGTTTTCTGACCATCAGAATTCTGCAAAATCTCTCCCCAAAGTCCCCCAAAAAATAAAAGCTCAGTTATATATCGGCGCTCAATTCCATTATGTCATCATTCTTAAACTCCTCTGTCATATAATATCTCATTACTATCATATACCATTCGAACGCCAGGCCTCCCGCCCTGCATCACTGACAAGGGCCAATGCGGGGATCGACCACCCGACCTCCACACTAGCGAGCCAGCGTCTTACCCACTTAGCCACAGTGATCCCCGGACCGGGTGGGGAGAGGGTTGTCACATATGGCTGGGAACAGTAATAAGCTTTTGAGAATTGCTATTTGACATATTGGATTACGATTTTGATATGGGTGACTTTAACTGGAATCGACCCGAGGCTGTCGGGGAGTGGGTGGAGTGGGGAGGAGGGTGTCACATAAATTATGGCTGGTAATAGTAATGAACATATTCTAGTGACAGCTGTTTAACGAGCATAATAATATTACATCTTCTGGGAATTGCTATTTGACATAATATGATTACAATTTTAATATGATTGAAATTTAGTGGAATAATGTATTGATGAAAATAGTGTATGTAAAAATGGTGTGACTGATCTAATTCAGTTGTGTAGTTTCTTACGTGCGAAATTATTCTAAACTATGTGAGGGTTTTGTAAAACAGAATAAATTTTTTTCATGGATAGGCCCTATCTACGATTCATGTCTTTTTATAATTTCAGGAAGCTGAACAGCAACGCCGCCTCAACAGAATTGATGAGGTTTGCAAAAGAATGTCACATGGTAACACAGAGAATATTTTGATTCATAAACCCAAGAAGATGAGCTATTGCGTTGTACCAAAGAACGGATGCACATATTGGATACGTGTTATGCGATATTTAAACAACGACACCGGATCCAAAGTGGTACACAGTCCTTTCGAAATTACGAGGTTCGAAGCTCATGGCCTTCCTTATAACCAGACTATGTATCGGTTACAAAATAAAAAACACCGCGAAATCATCTTTAACACTACAAGGTTTATGGTCAGTAGAAATCCATACTCGAGACTTCTTTCGGGCTACATGGATAAGCTGTTTTTACCCATGTTTTGGGGATTTCAGGGAACAAAAATGATCAAGGCAGTCCGCACTAATCCATCAGACGTTAGTTTGAAGTGTGGACATGACTTGAGTTTCCAAGAATTTCTTGAATATTTGATAATAGCAAAAGCCAATCCAACGACAATAGACGGCCATTTTAGACCGAAACAATTTTACTGTAGCCCATGTTTATTCAGACCTCATATATTGGCTAAACAGGAAACTTTTAAAAAAGATTCAGAATATATACTTCAGAAATTTGATCTTGCTTATTTGATTAAAAACTATGATCATAAATCCCACGTCAACGACGAACTGAAGAGTCTTTTGAATGACCATACACATTGGCTTAATTCAGAAGTAGTAAAAGAATGCATAGGACATGAACAATATCTTTTGAGAGTGTGGAAAACCTTTCAAATTAATGGTTATCTCCCTTTAGGCTCAGAAATTGCATTGAAGAACAAAGATGTATCTAGAAAGGAATTTAAAAGGCTAGTCATTTCGTCCCTTCACCATGGAGACGACAGTGAACAGAAAATGAAGAAACAAAGACACGAGATGATGGTAGAAATGTATCGTAGCGTCTCACAACAAACACTAAATGGAATTATTGACATGTATCAGTTTGACTTTGAGTTATTTGGCTATGAAAAGCGACCTAATGATATTTTTACGTAATAATATATTTAAGCAACAGGTCGGTTGCATTTTGTAAAAGAACTTTTAAAATAATAAAAAAAAAACGATAATGACGAATGCCCTTTGAATAAGAATTATGAGTATGACACTTGCATGAAATGGCTTGAACCAAAACAATAGTGAAATGCTTTACATGAAAGAGGGGTGGGGTGGCTGAATGGTTAACGAGTGCGCATTGCCGTTTGTACGTGACAAGGATTAGGGTCGCCCGTTCAACCTCGTGGGTTATCTTCGGGTCCTCGGGTTTTTTCTCCCACTGCTAAATGAAGACCCCTACGCGCTTGTGAATTAATGAAGTTAAATAATTGAACCATATGTTAGTCCCAAAATGACCTAGTTTGTGTTAAGTGGGCGTTAAGATGACGTATGCATGTCTTTGGAAATTTTGCCATGCCTACTCTCCGAAGATTATTTTGTGTACCGCGAACGTATAGAAGATGGGACCTCGCGGTCAACACGGGGATTGAGCCCGAAACAGCCTGGTTAGTCATAGTTACAAGAATTGAATGAATGAATGATAACACCCTACTTTTCTGCACTAACCAGGGTAATACAAACGGCCTTAAGCCATCCAGGTTGCTATGAGCGATATGTTACCAGGACAGTAATTCTTCGTCGATTTCTAACTGTTAAGGGTACTTTTAGACAAGAATAACAGCGATACTATCTAATTACGTGAAATGATTCAAACAATATTTTGAGGTTGCTTTTGTTAATAATTATATTGTTTTAGTTTGAATTTGAAAAATACCTATGATCAATCTGATTAAAATACACTCTATATTTCGTTTCGTTTTTTTTTTTATACTTTCGATGGCCTACACTGTATGATTCAAACAATATTCGGAGGTTGCGTTTGTTAGTAATTATATTGTTTTAGTTTGAATTTTGAAGAAAAAAAAACTAAAACCAAAAAACAACTCATAATGATCAATCTGATTAAAATACACATCTATATTTCCTTTCGTTTTTTTATACTTTCGATGGCCTCCACTACATGAAGATCTTGCCGGTTGTAGTGGAAGGTCGCGTCGGAGGTCATACGAGCGACTTTTGACACTATGACGTCAGACATTTGATTAACCAATCGGCGTTGATGTTTATAGTAGTTTACTACTCACTCCAAAAACTCGCCCTAACAGATCGTTTCATTGGCTAATCCCTCACATCACCCAGAACCCGGGTTATATAACAACTTTTCTAGATCCTAGTACAATAAAGACAAGTAAAATGAAATTTTGAACTATAAAAAACGAAACGAAATAGGATCTGTGTTTTAATCGGATTTCACAGCCAGATCCCCCATCTTACACCAGTGACAAACCGGCGCGGGGGGGGGGGGGGCTCTCGAAATTTCAGAGTAACATACTCGGACTACACCGGGATCGAAACTGGGAACACCTGGTTAGTGAGTTAGCGCCATACACATTGAGCAACCATAGGTCCACTTTTCATTACCAGCTCTTTACCTAATGGCGCTTTAACTAACACTAAATGTCACGGGGATCGGTTCTTGTAAACAAAATGTAATCCAGTACAGGACTTATTTGAGTGTGAATATCTTTTAGAGTTTAGTGTTTTATTGTGTTTGCGTGTAGATAAGGGTGTTTTTTGAATTTGAAGTAGTCAACTGTATTAAGATAATCATTTTATGATCTCAGATAATCTTATTGACATTGTTAGAAGAATAAAGACTAATATTGACATTTAAGAACTACCCTTTGATTTTAACAAATTATGGATTTTATCTTTTCTTTTAAAAAAAAATAAAGAAAAACAACCGTTATATCATATACGTGTATATTAACACATTCTTTACTTAAAGGAGCTAAATCGCTAAAATTTTGGATCTAGAAATTGACAAGAATGGGTCGCAACGTGTATAATAATGTAGTGTTTGTATATAAACTGATTTACATTCAATCGTTTCTGTTTGTACTGCAATTTCTAATCAGTTATATTCGGCGAAATACGCCAGAAGTCTCAATCCAATGGCAATCTGTAGCGTCTGGTTATTCCGCTCTATACCGATAGCATTTATTGTGCATGCTCTCCAGATAAGAATACGACATGACTTGTGGAATATATCTAGCCTCTTTCTACGAGTCTACGCTGAAACGCATTATGGCACACGATTCGTGTACCAATGGTAAAATATTTATTTTGTCTTAATTATTGGATATCAGAAGCCCAACTTTTCCCCGTAAGATCACAACATCAATGTTGATTTATATTGACAAATAATTCGTGTTTTCAATGTCGAAGATTTTGGATGATATTGAGTTAGAGGCTTAGCTACAAGATGTTATTTTCGTGTATAATAAAAATCATACATCGTCAATAGACAACTGTTATTACACAATAGCATGGCGGTGCCCGAGGGGATGGGGTGGTGTACACATATACCCCGCTACCGACAACCTCCAAGCAAAACAATATATATAACCGAATAATAAACGATAGGTCTGCAGCCAATGTGTTTCATTAATCGCTTGCCTAAGGACAGCCTAATAAGCGGCAATATGAAACAGTTTTAGAAAAGAACTATAACCCCGAAGACATGTATTTAAACGTGATGAAAGTTCCTATAAATATTATTGATTATTCCCAATGACAACCCACAGAAATTGCACTGTTTTTTTTCTATTTATTTCTTTTCATTGTGTTCTTTATACAGGGCGTACTCCAAATCACGTAACCGGGCTTATGAAGACGGACACGCACCATACAGTGTGCTATGTGGAGATTTTGTCCAGCCATAGGTCCTTTAATGTACACGCCAACGTGTAATCGGAACCTCAGGTTTTTTTCCCATCCGAACGCCCGCACCACTGACAAGGAGAAAGCACATTCTTGACCAACAGATCCTGATTTGTGAGCCAGTGCCCTACCCACTGAGCCACCGTGGCTCAAGACTTTCTGGATATTGAGGGGGTGTTACTTTAACAAATACTCCAGTTTCTTCAAAAGAAACCAAGTTAGACATTTTTATTGTTTATTGACCTTCTAATCAAGTATATGTTGACCTAGTTGTCAGCATGCTGAGTAAATAATTAGTTTGTTTAAAAACATGATTGTATTTACCTAGTAAGTTGAATTGGGAATATGACACAGGTATCATTGTGAAATGGACACAGATTGGATATTAATGTGATATGACAAATCATAGCTAAAACGTCAAGATATCCCCGAATTTCTATTATAACTGGGATGTGGTGGGCTGAGCGACGTATGTGCTACAGACTATAGGTCTGAAATATGCCTCCGCTAAATTCAAGTCAATTATCAATTTGATTAAAATACAGATCCCATTTCGTTTCGTTTTTTATAGTTCAAAATTTCATTTTACTTGTCTTTACTACACTAGGATCTGGAAGAGTTGTTGTATAACCCGCGTTCTGGGATCAGCCAATGCAATGATCTGTTACCGCGAGTTTTAGGTGTGAGGTGCACGGAACTGTGGGTAAACCACTAGAAACATCAACGCTGATTGATTAATCAATGTCTGACGTCATAAGGTCTAAAGCCGCTCTTATGACACCTGGCGCGACTACAACCGGTCAGATCTTGTAGGCCATCGAAAGTATAAAAATAGGAAACGAATTATAGATCTGTATTTTGAAATAAATGTATATTTAATTTACTCCCAAATTAGAACATTTTAAAGAAAAAGACGATAGCTAGGTAGAAGGCACAAAATCTTATTTTGTCCACATGGTTCTAGTTCTAGCTCCCCATTGATTAATGTGAGATATTGATTTTGAACAATTAGAGTTACCCAGCGATCGCTTTCAGAAAATAAAACGCAACCAACGCAGTCTTGTTTACTTATGGAAGGGGGGGGGTAGAATAATCTCTAATTATATGCATGGAGAGACAAGTCCTTTGCTTAAACAACCCGTTCTTTATTTTCTGAAAATATAACGTCCCTACCAAAAATAATCATTCCTAGTGTCTTTAAAGTAATAATATTCAAATCAGAGCGAAAACGGGATGCTGCTTATTATTATTTGGACACAACCGTAGAAAGTTATATTCGTTTGATCAAACACTAATTTAAGACCTTGGAAGACACATAGCACAGTCTTGTACGCCTTTAATAATAATTTCTTACACTAAGGATTTAAAACTGAAACCGTGATAACACCTGATGTTATAGATTTTGTATTTTATTGACTGCATAGCCTATTTTTTCCTTAAATCTCATATGGAACAACATTTTATCAACGCCTCACACTTTTTAAGGCTATACCATGCGACTATTTTAATTTACACTCTGAAGGGCCATCGCCTAGGCAGCGGCTAATAATTTAGTCTCATAACACTTAAGTAAATATGGAATAACGGTTTATCAACGCCCTACTTGGTTCTTTTTGAGACTATAACACATATTATTTTAATTTTATTCGCAATTCTTCAAGGGCGACATCGCTTAGACAACAGCTAAATGTTTGGAGTTTATATCATGTGTGTTGTATAAAATAGTTCTCGAATCAATGTCCGATATTGTAAAACGTCTCCTCACAATGGACGAGGGTGGAATGTCCGATTAAGCTTTATTATTAATGTCATATTGAAGAATAAATAACTATCTTGTTCACAACAAAAGAATCTCTTGTTTTCTCCCCGCCATTATTTGTAAAGCATGTTTTAGTGAAGCTAGGTATTTAGTATATGCATATCAACACATGTTTATAAGTAAAATTATACTATGTATATATATCTACCTATATTAATAGAGATTATAAACGTAAGTAACGATATCAACAAATAGGATTTATTATTGACTATAGTATGGTATATTAAAGGCTATAATAAAAGGCTTGTCTCAAATGTCTAAATATTAGAATTGTTTACACCAAGCCTTCTAGTATTGTGATGCTTATCATGGGTAGGAAATTACATGCAAAACCAGTTATAAAGGGGGTCAGCTATACAGTTAGTCATCTTTATGTAGATAATTCTCAAGTTTTCTATGAAGGTGTTATTATATGAATGAAATTATATTTATTATCTATAGTGCCACTAAATAAAGCTTATGCATTCAAAATGGTTCTTAGCGTGTCTGATATACCTGAGTATTGTATATTATTGTTTTAGTTTTTAAAATGATAACATTATTATTTACGAAGACTGACCAATAATTGATTTTTATGCTTTCTATATTTTGAACCCTTGGGATTGTACCCCTTTAACTCATAACTTGAGCATGAATCATTGATTACTATTAATATAGTGGTTGGTGAAACAAGCTTTAACTTCTGAAAACATCAACAACAAAACAACCGAGATTAAGGTGGGTGTTCCACTTTATTCTAGTTCGAACTAACATGCATATGAGAGACTTCTGTTAGATCAAATCGTTTGTAAGATATTGTGTCCAACAAGACAGTAGAAGAGAGCAGTTTGATCTAACGTTTTGTGTGATTTTTTATTTATGAACTATAACCATTGACCTGTAGATATTTGCGCGCGTAGGTTATGTTCAGTGATAGAATAAGTTGGTATAAGATAATCCATTACTTACGTCAAAGATTAAAGGATTGTGTATGTATATAAAAAGATTGTCAATAGAAAAAATGATGGTTATCAGTTCTAAATCGATTTTTAAGACAGTGTATGATGAATCTTGAAGAAGTTTTCATTGCGATATTTCTATACTGAAAAGGAATAATTATTACTTCATCCTGTGAATATAATGGCTTTTGTGAAGAAAACATTTTAATGAGTATAACCAATAGATATTCTTAAGTTTTCAAAAAGAAGGAAACAGTTTAGGACTAGCCGACATTAATGCTTTTTTCTGTGAAGTGTGTGTGTTAGTTCGGCATACATGTATTACGTTTTGGAGTTCTTGATTGGTTGTAATGAAAATTATTTAGAGCACGGGTCATTGATACTATTTTCTTCATCAAGGAATACAGTCGGTCCGAACAAATTAATAAACCCCATAATCTAATGGGCGATCTGGACAGAATAGAATTACTGGGACTTTAAAGAAGACAGAAACGCCTTATATAATTATATAGAAATACGTGGTATCACATGTTCTGAAAAAGGTGAGTAGACACTGTCTCATGCATGACACCTTTTGGTATTCATATGTCATAACATTATGTCATACCATTTCTTACAAAACAGTTCAAAGGTATGTACACGGTTATAGAAAGTTTTTTATTAATGGACTTTGTAACATTTTAAGCAAAGCGTGGATAGTTGTCGATAGTTTCATTGAATTAAGCAAACAGACAATAGTTTGTATAAATACATAATAAATCACCAATCATGCGATATATACATGCAGTTTACACAATAAAAAAAAGTATAAGAATAATTTTACACTTTTTCGTGATCGGTTTAAAATTAGTGTAAAATTATAAACATTAACAGAATCGTTATTACATGTACTGCCTTTAGCCTATAAATGTAGTCATGAAGGAACATAATACAAAAAATAAAAATAAAAATGAATGCTTCTATTGGTCTCTTGATGGAATGTAATACCTCCATTCATAGCAATTCGCTCTCTCCCAACCCCACCCTTTCGCGTGGCGATTTTTGCTGACTCTGTTTTAATGAATATTCATAATTTTTGGCGAAAACAGACATGAATTATGGTGAGAGCTTACTAAAGTGACACCACTGTCCATAGATTCCTGTGACCAGGGCTAACAAAAACTTGAAATGATCAATACCTTTAAACATTTTTACCAGATGATTGTGAAGAAATTTGATAGGCCAAGAGTAATGTCATGGATTTGACATTGAAGTCAATGAAGGGAATTGCTGATTCCTGATATACACAGTGTTATCACCACCCTTGGCGGGTCATTCAAAGAGCATTGGTACAAATATCACATTATGTTTATCAGTGTATTTCGACAATATATTTAGATAGATAAAATTATAATTTATGAGACATCTGTGGCCTGTTATTTTATGATTAAGATAAGTATAGTAGGTATATTATAGACAATGACAGAAATAGGCTACATATATTCATATGACTATGACACACCGTTCATCTCGATTAAGTATTGTGTTTGTTGCTTTAAATTACTGGTTGTAAAATGAGGACCAAACCATGGAGGCACATACGATAAGGTTGTTATGATAACGTGGCTAAAACGTCTTTGAGCAGTTGCCCCCTCTTTTCTAAAGGAGGATGGGAGGGGGATATGTCTTCATTAGAATTGGAACACCTCTTGGGATTAACCATTGTATCCTAATACAGACACGAAACCGAGTATATTATACGAACATACGAAACGTAAATACAAATGTCAAAACTGTTTTAATATAACCTGTAACGAATTGTACTTTTAGTCAACTTTGCCGTGGTTTTTTCCTTAAAAAGGTAAAAGTAAGCACAAATTCACACACCACGCCTATTTCATTGGTGAGTGACGTGTGAAATATATTTGAGCACATTCTACCATTTGATTTTGTAATTTGACTGTCAGTTAAGAATGGCTGTATTTGACATTCAGATATTAGTAATTCTTCACCTGATCACTCTTTTGTAGGATTCAGACCAATAACAAAGAAACATGCTCAAGTTTATGAAAGAAAGTGGAAAATCATCAGGAAATAAACAAGACCGAATAGCTGTATGGTCTCAGACGACAAGTTATCCTGGAGTACCCGGTTTACATAGTGAAGTTGGTCGAGGGGCGCACGCCCGAAATTCAAACGCTGATAACGAATTAAAAAGCACGGTTTCTGCCATGGAGTCGATTCACAAAAAGGAAATCAAAAAATTGGATTTCTCAAAAAAACATGTCGAAAGTTCCATGGTTGCTTACAGTGAAAAGATGCGACGCATTTCAACAGACAAATTTGTTGAGCGATTAAAGTTTGAACAAGAAGAAGAAAATTCGAAACGGTGGACAAATATAACCAAACTTTATGACGAGGCGATAAAAACCGTTTCATCTGAGATAAATTACACGCACGCAATAGATCGTGTTCATAGTATTTCCTTTTCTTACCCACGAAATCCAACGCCTCCTAAACGTAAAGCCAGTCAACAGGAGAGGCTTGCTAGTTTCGTACAGACAGATGACGATATTCCTTCTGTCGAGTCTAAATGCATTGAATATAAACCTGAACTAGAAACCGCCAAGCGAACGCGCAAAAGAGCCACTGTATTCGCCCCACATGTGTTAACTCAAAATTGTGACAAACTGCCTCCGATAAACATACGACCAGATATGAACAAATCTGTTGAATTACAAGACATCATTCTGAAAGAGGAAATTGTTCGTGATTCACATGACAAATCATTAAGCGATTTACCGAGAAGCAGCACACCTAAGAAAATGTCAGAAGTCGAATTACCAACAATCCGAACGCCGAGAAGTAGCGTTGTGATTTCTTCTTTTCCTGGATTAACAGAAGACGAAATTCAGAAATTCCACATTCCCAGCCCGGAAGAATATAGTCCTACTGATGACGGTAAGTCGAGTGATCCACCAAAAGCAGTTAGAAAATCCTCGAAAACGACCCGTAAAGAATCTCGCAACGGCAGCCATCATGATGTTCGCCTTGCCAGCTTATTAAACAATGCAAGCAAAGAGACAACCCGTATAAGGAAAACATCAAAGGACACGCGAGACAAAACAATTAGTCAGGAACACCCAGTAGGATTTAATCCTCATAGACGAAGAAGTTTATCAATGCCAACTTCTCAGAGATGTCACAAACACTTGAAAACTAAGTGTCTTGTAGATTGTGAGGGGAATGAAATTGTGCTAAAATCCGTGTTACGTCATCGCAAAACCAGTGACATCACATACATGGTAAAGAAATCTGTGCAGTTTCAGTTACCGGATCTGGACAAAAGCCATTTTGATTTGTATAAACATGCTAAATGTGAACAATCGCCAAATACTATCACAATTATACGAACAGATTAAGATATAGATGTATGTGTATCAAAACTAAATCTGTATTCATAGAACGAAAATTCAAATCAAAAATTCTACGGGAGAAAAGCAATCTATGAGCTACCTCTAATCCTAGATTAACTCGTTCTGACTCTTCCACTGCATCCAATAAATGTATAATTAATGTGGACAAAGAATACGAATAATTACGACTAATCTGAACTAAAGACAGTCTGAAAACAATTTTAAAACAAACTAAATTTTGACCGTCTAGTAATGTATGTTACCACATTATAAACTGATTTGTTCAAAACTGTTTTCTTCCGTACCTTAGCATTGAAACCACACAACCGATCGTGGCATACACCAGAACAATACACTGTCTGGGAAATGCACCTTGTTTCGTGTTTTGCGCTTGTGGGTTACTCCCCCTCCGAAACTCCCATTCGAAAGATTCTTTGCATTTTGAGGGAAGCCATATCATTGCAGGTTATGGATGCTCACAATCGCCCCCCTTATCGTTTCTTATTATTGTTCACTACTTGCAATGGGGGATGGGTGTGTCCTCGGTTTTGTCTTCTGCGTGGTTTCAGTTTTGTGTGGTGCTGTTCTCTTGAACTTACTATGGAATTTGTATGGTTCGGCTGATTAAAGGCCAGCTTGTTCAAGATTTATTATTAGGCAAATAGAATGTATCAAGGCAAAACACACGAGCGTTTATCAATATTTACATTATAGATACGCGCCCTTTTTGATATGGTTCCTGGGTTTACTTCTTGGCAAATGTGTTTTATATACATATTTCAGATCCGTTGGTTGTATTACGACTCGCAGTTCTATCTGATATGGCGTACATTTTGAATGGCATACATTAGTGGAAATTTGGTTAATATACGTCTTATGGCTCAAACATCTTTAAATATGAAAATCAACGGTTTCGGGTGGAACAATATTTTAATCAAATATTTATATTAAAAATTTCAAAATACCGGAACTCAAATTCAAATTAGCTATTTCACACGTGTCAATTTATCGGATTCAGGGGATTTCCTTTAACATGTGAAATCGGACACGGTGCTTCGATTTAATCACACCGATGCTTTCATTTTACTCAAATTAAAAACGTCATTTTCAAAATACTAATACCTTCGATCAACTTTGACATGTTGGCTTACGTGATAACACACGAGTAAAAAATACGAATGGCGACATCTTTTCTGTTCAAATTCAATAATATGAGCTTTAATAAAATATAACAAGAACAACGCTAACGCGGCAATATACGTCCACATTCCTGCTTTCATTAATATGGTATTAATGAAATATACAATGGCTACAACGACTGTAATATGAAAATAGGCAAAGAAAGCTATGTGTTGGGTTTGTTTTACCAAAATTTACAGACTGGGGGTTGGCGATGAATCAATATTAATAGGTACATCCCAGTTATTGAAATCTGTTCATAATTGCAACCTGTAGAGTATTTACAGACAAAAAATTAACAAATAAAAGGGGGTGTGACACCACCACTTGGGGCCGGGACATGCACCAAAATAAAAAGTTATTATCCTCGCGGTATAAGGAATAAATATGCAAAGTTCCATGATTATCCATTCAGAATTCCAGTCTGTAGACAAAAACACCAAAATTGGGCGTGGCTCTGCTCTGGGGGTTGGACATGGACCAATATAAATAGATACAACGCTATGATGAATCATGTCGAATTGGATCCAAATCTGTTAATAATTGCAACTTGCAGATTATTCATTATTAAATATTATTTTAAAAAAGTGGGTGTGGCACCACCGAAGGGTGGGGGCGTATCATGTGCCAATGTATTAAAATCCATAGTTGCTGTCCAAGATTACCACGTTCCAAGATAACCCATGTATACGATAAACACATGTATACGATAAACACATTGGGCTGTAAGGAATACAAATGTCAAGTTCCAGGACGATGCATTAAGAATTGTGGCCTGTAGGCAACACATGGATACGCAAAGATAAAATGGGGTTTGCCTCTGCCCCTGGGGATCTGGCATTCACCAAAAACAATAGGGATAGTTCATAGGGTATAAGGAACGGGCATAAAATGTTTCAAAAGGCGACACACAGACACAAGCAAACGTTAGGTGTGGCTCTGTCCCAGGGGGTCGGACGTGCACCAAAAATAAAAGAGGTTACCCCTATGGTATAAGGAATTAGTATGATGATCCAGAATTGTGGCCTGTATACGATTAACACAAAATATGGGCGTGGCTCTGCCCCTGGGGGTCGGGCATTCAACAAAAAACAATAGGGATCATCCTTAGGGTATAAGTATGCAAAGTTTCAAAGCGATCAGTTAACACACAGACACACACTCACACACACGCACACACACAGGCTTACAGGAGCGACAGCAATATACGTCCATCTGGTTCCACTGACTAGGCGAGACCAGAGTATATATAAGTCTCTGTACGAGACCATGCCGGTAAATGATAGCTTTTGTGGACCCTGGGTAAACACTACTCTTGGTCACGTGAAAACGTGAGATCGGAATCGAGCAAACACACATATAAAGGGAGATAACAAGGTTTTTAATGTGACTTAAAAAATGGTCATTCAGGACTATCTCGTCCATCTCGTCCATTATTCTTTCAAAAACGCTAAACAACAAAACAAATGAAACACAAAATATATTAACAGCGGTTCCAGATATAAAATGAACTACATGCAGACAAAGGATGCAATTACTGTTTGTTTATCACCCAATAATACATTCTACAGTAGATATCGCCTGTGTGATATATTCATAATCTACTGCGATATCTCCTTAGGAGATATCGCTTTACATGAATTTGATTGGTCAGTTGAAAAGGAACTACTTTTTTTTTATTTTCAAAGAACAGTTCATTTATTAAAAGTAACATTTTTTTTTATTAAAAATGAACTATTATTATTCAATTGATCTTGATGGAAACACTGGGTCAATATAAAGGACTTTGCAATGGTTGAATTGCTGTCAATAAATGATGTATCACTACGCCGTAATGTTCAGTAAAAGTGAAATCTACAGCAAAGAATTATATTTATCTATTTGTGCATGTAAGAAGGGATTGGGTGATAAATAAAATCTCCTACTCGTCTTTTTTGATATCAAAAAATATCAACACTCGTTGATAAAGTAAAAAAAACAACTCGGCAGAGCCTCGTTTTTTGTTACTTTATCAACTTGTGTTGATATTTTTTGATATCAAACAAGACTGGTAGGAGATTCTCTATATATTCAAGACGTTTTCCTGATGTCGTTTCAAAATGTATGGCTTCGAGCTTGAACCAGGGATAGTCTACAGCACGGTAATAAGGAATTGGGAAATATATATATACATCATATTGGCCTCTTCGTAGTGTTTCGGGGCGTTTTGTTAAAAAGGGTAGACATGAATTGCTTGCTTGCTATATTTTGTTTGTATTAAAATCAGAAGTTCAATGTCGTTAGCTTAACTTCCCGTCAACTTGGTCTTCTGGGTAATCTCGTAAAAATATTAACCTTTTCGCTTTCTTTTGATGTTTAGATTTAACAAATTTCGAGTCAGGATGGCTTTGTCGCTTAGATGGATCGTCCCGGAGTTCATTTAATAATTGTTTTTGACGAGGTGAATACTGAACAGTGTTATTTATATGAATCAATATTTGTTGAGGATTTACTAATTCACGGTCTGGTTTATCCAAAGTTGTTAAATCTGGGAGAATTTTATTTTTCACATGATTGTCTTCACTCACTGACCCTTCACCTCTCGGCTGACTAATACTCGGGTTAATCGATTCATTTTCAGTAACATCACTGTTCGAAAGTGTTGTGTCGTCTTCTGGAATATCGTGTAAAAATGACGGTTTCAGTTGCATCCTTTTTGCTCTTTTAGGTCTTCTATAAACAGGAATTACTAGATTATCGGTACCATCATTTCCGAAGTCTCCACTATTCTGTCTTTGCCTAGGTAATGATACGTGAAGCTGCTTCTTAAAGTTATTTGATCTATTAATAGATGGAATGGGTGGTAAAATGTTTGAGCGAAGATAGTCCGTTACTTTCGATTTCGGATTCTGTTCACTAAAGGGGTCGCCTCTAATACTATAACCAACGATATCAGTGTTGCCTGTCGCACTAACAAAGCTTATTTTCGATCCCCTCTCTGGTATATCAGTAAATTGTGAAGATGTTCCAGGAAGCGACAATCGTGGTGACGTAAACAGCATGCGATCAAACTCATCTCCATCTAAAGATCGAGCTTTTCGACCGGTTAGTTCCACCAATGATAAGGATTTTCGATGTTGAACTTTTGGTTCTATGCGGTTGAATTTTGGGATATGTTTGGCACGAACTTGCAAATAATCGGCCTTGCTGTCATTTAATCCTCTTCCGCGTGCTTCCTTGAATGTTCGTAATTTTTCAGAATAGGCCAGCATTGATGTGTCGCTTTCTTTAGACGACAGTCGGGATAAGTGTATATTAAAACTTTTACTAGAATTATCATATTTTTTAGAAGTTGGAAGTATGGTTCCTCGCTTTGACGACATAGCAACGAGTGAACAAGTATTTAGCGCCATCTTGTATTTCTTACTCTATTGGTAGTCACATCAACTGCTCCCTGTACATTACCATCGTTTTCATCGCACATCATCTGGAAAAAAACAATGCAAGTTAACAAAATGTAGGATTTTATTAGGCGCTGGTAGTACACCTAATATTTAGTTACTAGCTTGTTTGAATAAAGTGTCTAAGACGACTTTAGTACGTTCGCATACAAGCCTTTAGTAGAGGACCAATCATGTTTGAATTTTGCACTGTGAGAGAATCTATAGGTTGGTCAGAAGTGCGCTATCGTTACTCATATATAAATATATATTTCTCGTGTGTGCTTTAATATATCGGTCCTATGGAAAGTTGGCTTTTAAGAGCTCCATGAGGACAAAACTCACACTTTTAAAAACGAAATTATCCTTTATTATAATGGGGAATATATAAATGACGGTTAAGATGTACATTGAAGTACCCTTTCCTTTGAATCGGTCTAAATGTAGTGGGCCAAAAGTGTTAAATTTTAAATAGAGTCCAATGTGAGTCCATTTAATCAAAATGGATCATATCTAAGTATGGTTCAAATGTCAAATACTAAATGTCACTAAGCTTATCAAGATTACAGTTTTAGCATTATAATACCATAATACCATAATGAGCTTAAAGCAAATAAAGCGCTATGAGCATACTCTGTGTGGACTAGCGCTATATAAATGATATTATTATTATTTATTATTATTATAAATTTGCTTCATATGGTTGATAATGTAACTTTTGTAGTTAATCGGTTTCAAAACGGGGGTTGCATTCTTTGAGATTCGAACTATGTGTTAATAAAGCTGTTATAATAGTTTCACAACCAAAAAAACAACAACTACAACCCCCCCCCCCCCCAGAAAAAAACAAAAAAAACCAATGTTGTTGGGATGTGTTTATCGGGGGAATGAGCTGATGGGCGGATGGGTCGGAGAGTTGATTGAGGGGTCGGATTCTTGTTATTATTTGGTAATATTAAATTAATGTTGACAAAGATCATATAATTAGTTTACGAATTAAATGCAACTAGAACTCCTAAGGAATACTGACGTGTTTCGGTATGTCACGTCACGTCAGGTCACGCCTTGTCACGTCAACAATCAAGTTACACCATGAATTACTGAGTATAGTAACATCCAATACCTAATAAAGTGCATTCTCGGTCCCCAGTGTTCTCATTCCGTTCTACTCCACTATACAATGGGTTAATCCATAGGGTTTCCACGATTTCAAATTATCTGCCCTGGCCTTGATTGTAGCTAAAGTCAATTAAAAAACAGTTTACGAAACAGACGTTTCACCATCGTTTTTTTTAAGGGTAGATAGCCATATTCATGCCCATTTACTGAATAATTTGTAAGTACTAGTAATCACTGGTTTATAGACATATAGCACGGCGTTTCGACAAGTATTCTCTTGTCGTTTTCAAGCTTTTTTAATGTGCTCAATCGCTAAATGCCATTCAAGGACTAAAAAGAGATGCATTAATATCTAACATTCATAGGTGACCTCTAATTCATTTATATTTAACTGTATTATCAAAATCAGATTTCAATATATGTATAACATCTATATGTTTAATTTTTGTTATTATTATTACTATTCGTTCGTTGTCTGAAATGTTTCTGTTATGTTTATTATTATTGAACTTATACTTGGCAATGTGATTTACAATAACTTGTCTACGATGATACCACGTAGACGTAAAACTCTGGGAACGAACGAACGGTTCGCAATAGAACTCATGAATCTGCTTATTATATAAACTTTCGGTCTTGATTAATATAATATTATATAATTTGTTGTTAAAAAATCATAATCTTGTCCGATAAGAGTTACTTCCCTTAGCCAACTTCCTTTTTAATTAACGATTTATGGGATTGGTCGATAAAAATAGCACAATCATCAAGGGCGGATAACTTGAAAACGCGTCCCCCATAGATAGTGGGGTAGAACGGAATGAAACCGGTGGGGATACCGAGGATGATTAAAGTGGGAAAACCTGTTATTCTTCATAACCGAGCTTTTTTATATTAATTGTTAGTAGACTTCAGGGTCATCATACATACAAAGGTCAAGGGTCATTGAAAGGTTAGGTCACCAGCTGAAAGGTTAGGTCACCAGCTGGAAGGTGAAAAGTCGAACAAAATTCAAAGTGAAACTGGAAGTAAACAAAATCGAAATCCAAAAATCGGCTCCCTAATAATTGTTGCCATTTGGAGTAGGTTCAATACAAAAAATCGGAATTAAAATGGCGGCTGAATATCGATTTGAATGGGGTTTTTTTTGTAAAATCCAATATGGCTGCCAAGTGATTGAACATGTTATCGAACAAGGTCTTTGAAATGAAAATTAATATCTGGGGCTAAAACTACCATAACATCTCACTTTTTGTCTATTTTTAAAATGGAGAGAACTATTCATGTTCGGGAAAAATCGGAAGGCTTCGGTATTTTCCGGATGTTTTCGGAAGCCGTCACAATTTTTTTTTAATATGCCGTTTTGAAGGTATGGATGTGTTCCTTATTCCTACCAAAATGAAATGAAATGGGGTTTAACGTCCTACTGTTCTGCTCCTATACTGGGCTAATGAAGACGGGCATACGCCATACAGTGTGCTATGAGGGAAATTTTGCCCGGGCAGCGGCACTATCGCCTACTCTTATATCGAATTCCAACTGCCAGGGGATCTTTTACGTGCATTCCAATATATACACGGGACCTCGGTTTTTCGTCTCATCCGAAGGACGAGACAGCTGTCCTTGTCAGGCCCTCCGTTCTGCACCACTGACAAGGGGAAACCACGTCGGAAAATCTGGCTAGCGAGCCAGCGTCTTAACCACCTAACCACCTAACCACTTTCGCAAATCTTTGATGCTAATATTTATCGAGCGAAAAACCGTCAGTCAGAGTCAAAGAATCCAAAAATGAAAACCCGAAGAAGATCCGTTGATAAGTAACCGAGATATGGGCAATCTGAGATTATTTTTTGTCCCATCCGTAAAACACTTCATGTTTGTCAAAAATGACAAAATTTATATTTAATAAATGGATCCACAGAGAACAACCACATCTACGTTGACGAATGTTTGCACCATGTACAGTTTTGGCTGCACAAACTGACTTAATCCCCATCCAAAAATATAATAAAAACACGTGTAAAAATCCTGGAAAGAGGAATTATTGTAATTTTTTTCTTATCATATCATTGTGTTTTCTAAGTATGTTGGGTTTTTTTAAGGTGTTGTCATTTTATATATCATCTAATATCCGACACAACTTTTTATTTCTTTGGGATGTTCATATAGATAAGAATTTGAGGGGTATTTTTTTTTTGCTATACGGCCAGAATATACTATGATACCACTGGATCTAAATGAGTTGAGTTTCTAATCTAGCTTTTCGTAAAACTCAATGGAATGTATAGCCCCCCCCCCCCAAAAAAAAAATAAAAAATAAACAAAAACATGATGAAAAGGTCAAAACACAGATGTCGCGTCTGAACTAGTACTTTTTATGGTATTTCTAATAACCCCAAAAGAAGAGTAGTTTGATTAACTATTTCAGCCCGATAGCTAGAGTGAGTCAAAACAAGGTCGTTTTAGGGATACTCAAAGAACACTAGCCTTCACTCAAAATTAATTTTGGGAATATGCACTAGTGTCATTTTATAAAACAACTGTTTAAAAACTTTTTAATAAAAGATTGCCGCTCTTTCTTAACAACAAAATATTTGTCTGAAAAAGATTTCTGCCGTACATGTCTACATTAGTTGCGCCAACTTTGAAATTTTGACCTTGAAATTTAATCGCTATTTTCTGAAAATTTAAATTTTGGAGATAATGTTTTATATTTTGTAAGAGCAGTATTAATCCCCGACTTAACTTACAATGACATCCAACGTCATAGACGCACCTCGGTTTTCTTCGTTTTCAATCCTTAGTATAAACCAAGAATGTTACAATCCAATCCTACATCCGATAAATGTGGGTCAAAAATCTGTCAGGTGTAAACTGTCAGGTGTGCGTTTAGAGAAACAACAAAGATGTGAAATCGCTGTTTTATTTGATTATTCCAAAGATTTGTTATCTTTAATTTAACGGACTATTGTTTAAAAAAAATCTAAACATAACCGTTATCCTTTTCCTAGAAAATAGCCGCCCAATACTGTAAATATAAAGAAATGATAAGTAAGAGAAAAACAACAACCTACCTTATAGGACAGACAAAAAACGGCTACAGTATAAAGTATCAGAGTTACTGATATAAATAAAATTGACACAGTTTGAGTTGATATCCTTTTAAAACGCGGTCATTAATTCTATCCAAAATGTCCACAGCTTCTTTGTTTAAAAAAAAATAACTCCAAAAGAAACAAATATCCTCGATAAACCAAATATAACGTTACGCAGTAACACAAAACAAAAACTATATATATTAGAACCTAAAGTGGCATTCATGTATAGAACGTTTGCTGTTATATTATCTACATAATATAACCTTGCCTACGTCACGTTGCACGATTAATTTCCACCCGACTTGAATGATTTCTATTTGATAATCAATTAAACTCTTAATCTAAATCCACACCCCGCCTCTATTTATACGTCATATAACCTGTAACCTGTACGAGTTCTTATCTAGATGATATACACGCATGTATAATAAGCCGGGTAGAAAGAAATTAACTCATTATACTGTACAAATAGTTTTAGACAGCTTATTACCTTATGTTGTAAATTGTACCATATCCATAGAGACGATAAACAATTTTTTTTTAATTGGAATGTCATAAAATAAGTGTGGAGAAATAGCACACGAGTGCCGAAAACAAGGTGATCGTGTGCCAAATGAACATTTTGCAGCGAGCAATTAGTTATTTTACAAAGACCTAAGGTGTAAAAAAAGAAAAAAAAAGAAGAGAAAATGGTGTACACTATGTAAAATTAAACCTCAATATCAAAATGAATTGCCTAGCAATGGCACATACGCTCACCAGTTGGTCTGTTGTTGCTGTTTTAATGTTTTGGGGGTTTGACAAGAATATCATGCAAGTTTTCTGTTTAAATTTCAAAATGTCTGAGTATGATTACAAGGTTTCGATGACAGGGGCAATAACTCAAAGTAATTGATGGGTGACTGAATTTCAATACCTTCCAACTTTATAACTAGCCAAACCATCCAATCAAGTTTACAAAAAGACCCAGGGAGTGGTACAAAGTTTTGATTTCAAGGACAATAACTCTGCAAGTTATGCACAACTTTGAATATCGATAGGGTTCATCGAATAGTCAAAACGTAACTTAAAACTGTTAAAAACATGTAGAGTGATATATGCACGCTCCATCCTTATATGGAGTACTTGGGTAAATCCAAATAGCTTGAAATAAAAAAACTTTGATCAGTAGAGCGATTATAAAAATTATGAAGACAGGTGGACAGGGGCGACGACAATACACGACAACATTGTAATTTGTGCGCATTTAAATCTGTAAGATTCGTGAATGCATGTACCAAAGGACAAAGGGTAAAATCCCTTTTAATAATGTGTGTATAAAGCCCATTAGAAACATTTATCTTCTACATCTATGTGAAACGATATGTGTAAATATTTAGAAGACACACAAACGACCAGTTTTAGGGTGATTGGACTTTTGGATTTTATAGTATACATCTTATCGATTACTACTTATTTTTGCTTCGTTTTAGAGATACATATAGTGATACCCCCCCCCCCCCCCCCCCACACACACACACACACTCTCCCTCCAAGGAAAAAGCCATATACCCTGAACGTATTAAATTCCATTCATTTCGGCATTATAGCATATTTTCAAAATTAGTTTAACAAGGTGTGACATTATTTTGAATTTAAACTTTCAGATAATGGTAAATAAGACTGATTTTCATATTATGTATCAATGAATGGTGTGGTGTTAAATCTGGTACTTCTCCTTTATAACATTTAAGAAGGCTGGTTATATATTACGCATCAATGAAAATAATCAATTTCTGATTCAAAGTATACATGGTTTAATTAAATAGACCGTCTAAATCCAAGGGTGAGCTTAAAGTGTTGAATAGAACAGCACTTTACGAGGTATTGTGTGGAGGTATTAATCCACGGTTTACAAGGAATTAACTGACATATTCAAATCAAAACATATCTATATTAAAGTAAATGAATAACTAACATAATGTACAACCAGTTTTAAACTATATATTATATATCCATCCATTTTATTATTTATTACTCCTGTATTGTAACCCTATAATATATATAATAAAACAAGGCATGACAGTGGGCCCATAATACACGTCGTTGTATAAATCCGTTAGTCTTTCTCTGGATGAATAGTCAATAGATTTTGTTTCATAAAAAAGGTTGGACGACCGATGATTCTTTAGGGTAGGCCCTAAATAAATGGTGAGAAAAATAGTATAGTCAGTCTGATACCTAAATCCTTTCCGAAATACGCCCATAGCAACGCTCGTCTTCATAACAATATTCAAAGATACATTAGTTAAGAGTTTAATAAAGAGTTTGCCATTCTTGTTATAATAATTTAAAAAAAATGATAAAAAAAGAAAATATTGAAAATTTCATTCAAATTACTTCATTATCAGCCAAGTTATCATTGTAGTTTTGACAGGATGTGTGCACAGTGGTAACCAAAGCACTGGTTTTATTGGGACTTAGCCTCGCTTTCCCATTTTTAAATTAAATTTTTAAATGGCGAACCGTTTTAATCTAGTTAAAATCTCGAGTATCCGAAGCCATCGAGAGTCGATTAAGGTCTTGTTTTGTTAATAAATGTCTAATTAATAGTTTATTAAACATTTTGGGTCTAAAGAAAGACCTGCAATAGGCAGATTTAGCTCTTGCATAGTGTATGTTTAATATATTACTTTGAAAACTTATGTTTACTTGTTGACCTCTATCCGGCAGTTTAGTTTTGCTTCCCAAATCCAGACGTTTGCTCCAATCGTGCTGGAAGTCGAGTATGCTTACCTTTTCTATAAAACTTGATAAGTATTAACCATTTCAGGATTTTGTATATATACTTGCATCTATTATTACCCGAGTATACATTACCTTAACCAAAGTTTGTATATATGTGTACAGTGAAATCGATATGATATCATTCTGTGATTTAATTAGAGTTTCAAGAAAACTAATTAACATTTAATTACCCTACATGCCATACAATAAATTATTCATGAATAAATTAATATTATATAACCTATTTCATATAATCACGTTAAATCCTAACATCTACTCGTTTTCTAAACCCAATATTACACGATGTTCCCAAATAAGTTTTCCATAATATGTATTTGGACCAATTCGGAAACCATATTGTTAAAGCATTGTAACTTTAATATGATCTTGATATCTACTCAGGCAGTAAACTATACATTTCTGGTTTACTTTGGAGAGTAAATAAAAACAAATTTCTTATCTTTGTCAGTGACGTTTAAACGTACACGACAATACAAACAGCATACATTTTTAAAGTAATAGTCTATCTAAGAAACCTTTCTATAACGCTGGTCTGTCGAATGTATTTGTTTTAGCTGTGATGTGGGACCTTTTATTTACCCCTTAAATCCAGCTTAGCTCAATAACAATTACAATAACAATAACAATTCTCCTGGTCAGAAGAATTCAGCACTGTCTATTATGTATCTAAGACGAATTTTCTGATCAGGTGCAGCAATGATATACTTATGCATCATTGTTGTACAGATATAAGCTTTCCTTTATGATCTAGGTTTTGACAGTTTGTAAATTTGACAAAGAACAAATGGGTAGTATTGTTATGGGATTTAGATGGTATATCGAGCAAATGACAGTGGTTCTCCACCATTTTTTGCTAACGGCACACCTTGGAACACATAAAAAAAATAGTGGCACACCTGGCTAAATATATATGAAAAATATTTGAATTCAGCAAAATAAAAACATGACAAGTCATAGACGGCATACAAGCGTAGACACAGACTAGTCATGGACACATAATGACTCTAACTGAATAAAGAAAGACACAGCTATGAACTTACCAGTAGACACCAGTGAATACTCAATTGGGATCACGTCGTTTTTCGCATTTTCTTAGTGTGCCGTTCAAAATTGCGCGGCACATTTAGGAAGATCTCGCGGCACACGCAGGTGTGCCGCGGCACACTGGTTCAGAATCACTGTTATATGGGGTGCTATTGTTACGTATCGTAATAAAATAATACTTGTTAAAAGACGTCAATTACTTTTCATTTTAGTGGATAAAAATCAACCTTTCGCTTAAGTTATACCTAAATAGAATCTCCCAACCCTCACTTCAGACTTATACATTTTCTTTATTAGACAATAATTATAGAACTTACCTCATGTCGTTATAGTCCTGTACGTGTCAGTGGCATGGGCGGATTTTTTAAAAATAGCCATATCGACAGACATAAGCACAACATATTCCTAGACTGTTGTTGTTTTTATGCTTTCTAGCGCACCCTTTTGTTTATTATACGAATCCTTGTAGGATTTCTTTTCAAGAAAACAAAGAAAATCGACAACTGTATGGTACATAGAGCAGTCTTAAGCCTTAGAGTCGGTGTCATTAATATCTAATGACTATTATTTACATCGGCTAATAAACCATGAAGCGCTATATAATCAATAACCTGTGTATAATCCATTCATAAAGGCCAGAATAGAAATTATTGATACACAATGACACCTTTCAACCAAGTCGTTGTTTAGGGATTCAGGTGATTCTGTGCATGGAAGATATGTTCTTAGTTTGCATCGTATAATCTCCTATGCTAAATATGCACTCCGTACAAAAGCACAAAAACAAAACCGAAATACCTAACGATAGGCTTTAAACTCGTCAACAAATTTAATTAGTAAAGATGTGGAAAGAGCGCCTCAACAATTTTTTAAAAAAATCTTTTTTAATTTCTGGACTAACATATTAATCAGTTCTATTTCAATTATTCGGTTGCACAGGCGATCGGCCATAGGCTACTCTTGTCACGTAAAAGAGATGAATCGTTACCTTGCCATGCCACTTGACTAGATGAGAGACCTTATTATGTAACGCCACTTAAGCCCTACTCGTATTTTTTGATATTTTTTGATATCAAAAAAGACTCGTTGTGAATTCTCTATATATCCGGTGTGTTCAAACTGGGTGCCTGTATTATTAAACCTTATGTACATAATTTTAATTCATAATAGAGAAGGTAGTTAACCTTACTGCATTTTTATTTTAATATTTTAATTTTAATTTTTTTTAACTCTTTATTTGATCTCATTGTTGTTCTTGTTGTTTTTATATTGTTTTGTTATGTTTCAAGGGCAGAATTGTAAAAAGGCCTGGCCTAATTTCTTACCCTAATAAAGATATTATTATTATTATTTGTTGGTGAAACTGAAAGTCGTGGCTAAGATACGTGTGTTTTAATATTATGACATATGAACACTGTTAAATAAACAGCATGAAAGATTGTATCTGAATTGGCATTTTTGAAAGCAAATAGTTCCAATAGAAAAGGTACCAATATGAGGCTGGGTGTAATATGTTTTTTTAGAAAAGAAATGAACTCCATGCTATATGCTCTTTATCGGTGGGCTACATTATTAATTGTCTAAGTTTCCGGCGTGGTTCCCCCTTGTCAGTGATGCAGGACGGAGGGCCTGAGACGAACGGCTGTCTAGTCGTTCGGATGGGGCGAAAAACCGAGGTCCCGTGTACACATTGGCGTACACGTAAAAGATCCCTTGACAGTTGGAATTCGATATTAATTAATTTGTAGTAGGCCTAATCATTGGCTAATTATAACCTCTGCAGTAAAAATAATTAAAATATCTAAATATTATATTTTCATTTAAATATTCTAATGATACTGTTATATTGTTAATGATGTAAAATGTTAAAAACAGGAGAGTAAGGGCCATTTCGTATGTGAAATATCTTTATTTAACGCCCGCTTCCACCGAAGTGAATGATAGATAGATAGATAGATTTTATTACATACAACCCCTTTTTTCGGGCAGCATGTAAATTATACATTACTGTCAGCATGCTAAAAACATTATTGAGGCAGTATGTGCAAAATATAAACCAAAGTTTTGAATATATGTCATAGTCGTTTAAACTAAACGTGAAGAGGTCTTTGAATTGTTGGTTATTTTTTTATTTTTTTTGGGGGGGGGGGGGGGGCTTATATAGAAGTTGGTGCCACATCCCTTATTTTGAAAGTCTGATGCACAAAGTTGCACACTGCTTTTGCCAGAGCAAACGGCGGGTTAAACATGTTTTCGAAAGAAAATGGATAGATTTGGGTCTGAAATGCCCCATAAACAATTGCCTTGCGGAGTTCCTCATAGCGGTTGCATTCAGTGAGAAAATGATACTCATTTTCAACTTTCTGTTGAGGGCAGTCTGTGCAAAACCGCAGATGTGCAGGTATATTCTTGTATCGCCCTCTCTCTATTTCAACGGCATGTGTGCTTAAGTTTAAGGCAGGACATAGCGGTTTTAGTTTTAAGATTTTGAACAGCTTGCAGGTAGGGCACCGTAGCATTGATATTCTTTTTAAACCTATAAAATGTTCTTAGTTTCTGGGTATCTGAAGAGCAAAGATTGGCATAAACTTCATTGAATTTATCTTCAAGGCATTAATTAGTAATTTCATTTGATGATGGATTGAAAGATGATAATATATTAAAAGTATTTAACAATTCAGCAATGGCTGCTGTCCAAGAGAGTTTCGGGTTAATGCACGCTAAAGTAATATCCTCTTTAAAGAAAGAAAAAAGAATTGGGTTATTTACACTGAGTTGTGGGTTGGATAGACGCTTAAAATATGAAAGCATTCTACGATACACATCAACTTGTTGCGGGAATATTTGGGCTTCGGCTAAGCAGCCAATATTTGATGCCTTTGTAGGTTGCGCTAAAATGGGTTTTCAAATTTTTATGGTGATTTTATTTAAGTCTAATTTATCCCATGATATGCCAGACAAGTGCTTCGCCTGACGTGGTTTTCGATATAACGGTTTTGTATTGCAGGGGAACCAACTCCATTTAGTGATAAAACTCTTCTTTGATGAAGATAGACATTATCCCTTTTCCGGAATGACAGCCAATAGAAAAGCCATATTTTGTTATGGCGCCAATGAGAAATACTTAGCGGTAATTTTGTAGTATTTATTGGTTGTAATAAATGGTAAATTGGTTAAAAGAAAGGTAATTAAAACGAGAAAATACCGTATTTTTCCATGCAGACGAGGTAGAATTCGCAAAATTCAACTCCATGGGGCAGAATCGAGACAAAACCGTACCGGACGGACGAAGAAGAGTTGCATCGATTGAGAAACTGTCTAATTTTGAGCTTAATGAAGTTAATGAAACTCTAAAAGATAGCATAAGACTAATTATTAATAAATTATATGGTTGGTAGGTGGGAGGGGGCAAATATTTCCCAATATGTCATTTGTTTAAAAAATGGCTAGACCTACGGTACGGTACTCTAACAAAAAATCCGCCCACTCCCCCCATATGAATTCCGAAAAATTAAAGGAAATAGGGTTTAATCAGATGGGGGTCATTCGGGTGAATTATAATCTTTTATTATCCAGAGTATAGGCCCCTTCAGAGTATAGGCCTACAGAGTAAAGGTCTCATGAGATGAGAACGAAAACAGACTATACTAAGTTTACTATTATTACAGATATCGAGCATAAGCATAGGGATTAGGGATAGCAATAGAGAGTAGCATTACTTTCAGGTCCCTCCTCATTTCGGACTCAACACAGAAGACCTTTCGGACACACTCACACAGTTTGACGACTGTTTGGACTGAACTTGGTGACATTTCGGACTCAGTCTGGGACGATTTTATACTCAGATGAATAATTAAAAGACTTGAAAATTTGTGTGATATGGTAATACTAACACTAACAGCTGTTTTTTTTTTTTGTCTTATGTGAAGCTGATAGTTGTCTTTTGTTCTATTTAATTGATTGGCAATTGTTGAGACCGCTACCGGTAATAAAGAATTAACACTGCTTGTTCTACATATAGGCCTATTTTATTTTGTTTCATCGACGAGTATTGAACTTGCCAATAAAATATTGTTGAAAATTTGTGTATAACTGTATATTTAGTAATTCTTCAATGTTTTTATACGTCCACATTTTCATGAATATGGGATCGTAACTTTCTGAATTATGGCCCTTGATTGTACGAAATATTGCATTTTTAGCTTACGCTCCCTCTAGAGGTCACAAGTTTTATCCGATTGAAAAAAACGTTTGAATATATCACTGTTACACCCTAATGATGGCTAAGTTCGAATTTCATGAAAATGGGACCAAAGTACTGGACAAAATGGCTGCCCCTTCGTACGCAAATAGTGTAAATATGGTATATCAAGGTTGTGGACCCAGAAGTCACAATTTTGACAATTTTGATTCGATTTTGATGAAACTTGAAATCTGTCTTTATAACCCAAAGATCTTGGTTCTTTTCGATATTCGTGCATATATATATTATCGGATTGTAACTTCCTGAATTATGGCCCTTGATTGTACAAAAATCACTTTTTTTTAGCTTGATCTCTATCCATCATTTGCAAAATGTTGACGTGTCTTGCCTGGCAGCCGCTGTTCTTTTACATGCTAATGTTTTTGATAATTTTGAAAGCCCAAATGTCTTTTATGTAAGTCAAAAAAATAATTACTTTAGGGGACGATGGGTCTATGTAAGATCAAAACATGATAATGAAAGGTATTTTCCCAGTCATTATCAGCCGATGGCGTGATCCAAATGAATTTAGAATTGTCTAGTAAGTCAGAAATTTTGCAGAAATATATTGTAGATTCATATCATGCAAAATTGCAATCAAGCCTGAAAATAGGGAGTGGTTAGGCTACTTGCCATCCGGTCTGGTGGTGGGTATCCTTGAAGTCATTTGCCATCGAAATTAAAGAATTAACCTATATTGTTCTAAGGGTATCATTCTAGGATAACGTACTCACCATTTTATGTATACTTACATAGATATACTCAACTAGCTGATACTGTCTCCTTAGCATGTTTGAATTTCCTGAAAATCAGACCTAAACTTCCCATCAAAATGATCATCCCCCCCTTTTTGCAATTAGTGTAAAAGTATGTAATACCAAGGTTGTGGGCCCTCTTTATCCTATTTTAATGAAACTTCGAGATTTGGAATGTAGATTATAGCTCGAGATTGTACTTAAAATCACGTTTTTAGCTTGTAGAAACTCTAGAGGTCACAGTTTTTATCTGATTTTGATGACACTTAAACATATATGGTTATATCCCGAAGATGAAGATCTCGTTTCCTTTCGATATTGATATGTCGTATCATAACCTCCTGACTTATTGGTCCTAATTGTATGGAAAATCACTTTATTATCTTGTTCTTTTTCCATCTTTTGCAAAATGTGGACATATCTTGCCATGGCAACTGGTTGTTAACAATTATAATTTATTTAATTTTTAGAGTTCAGTATGGCTACTGACAGTATGGGTGGCAATTCTAGTTGTAATTTGTCAAGAAAAAGAAGATGGCTTTCATCACAAGATGAAGGAAAGAAAAGGTAGTACTCTTACACATTTATGACTAAATTACAATTAATTTACATACCTCTTCTCTGAATGTTCAATAGTCTACAGAAGACCGACAAATTTACAGAAATTCTCTTTCTTTCTTTTTTTCTAGATTAAATGGAGAGCTGTCTCCAAGAAAGAGAAGGAGAATGAAATCAGTTGAATCTCCAAATTCATCTCCACTAAAGAGTCCATTTGTCTCAGACTCTGATGAAGCACCTACATTTAGAACTAAGTCATTTTATCGATCCAAGGGAAATTCAAAGTTTGCTGCCATTACTTCTTCCACAAAAGAAAATCGGCCATCACCTCTTAAGAAATTAACACCTCGGAGAACCAGTAGTCGAATTCAGTCTTTGACATTGTCAGAGAGTGAGTCAGATCATACAGTTTCAGTAAAGACTGCACCAATTAAGAAAGACAACTTCCGATCTAATAGGTTAAAGAGCATGACAAGTTCTGATAGTGAATCTGAGCCCAACTTCGTCAAGGTATTGCGATCAAGGTCCAATAAAATTACTGAATGCTCAACTGAGTATGATTTCCCCAGTGTTATTCCCATTATTAAAGATTTGACTATTTCAGAAAAACGTAAGGCATACAGTGAAAGTAAAATAAATCCAAGAACAAACAGAAAGACAATAACTCACACACCACCCTTAAAAAAGAATTCAGGAAAGAAATTCTTTAGTGCTAAATGTCCTTTAAATTCCAAGTCGGTTGGAAGTGCTAGTGTTATCGTTAGAAAAGGCTTTGATTTAAAATTTGTTCCAAGACGTATTAGTGACCAATTCTTAAATGCCAAGTCCAAGAACAAAACTCCCAAATTGTTGAATAAATCCAAAACTTTGAAACAAAAAGAGGCCAGGGCATTTGTGAGAAAGTTTAGTTCTAAAAATATTGACGAATGTCATAGTGCTACAGCTACATGTATTTCAAATAAAAATTTGGATCAGACTGAAATTTGTATGAATTCAAATCCATCTCCAAAATCGATATCATGTATTTCTAGTGATTTAAAAACAACTGTTACATCAGAAGAAACAACTGAAATGGTTTCACAAGACTCTGCTGTCGTAATAAGCATCTCTAATGAATCCTATGCTGATTCTGTTGGATATTTACCACCTCTCAAGTCACCAGCTAAACCAGAACAGCCTTTTTCCGGTTCCCAGGATTTATTTTCTGATGCTGTGTCAGATATTTCAATGGCCAGTTCATATGCTTCTGGACCCTGCGAACGAAAACTTCGATCTGGGATCACATACAGTCCATCTCAAAAACAAAATCAGTCCGATGTTTTGAACAGTCCATCTCGAAAAAAGTTTCAGTTAGATATTTTAGACAGCCCCTCTCGTAGAAGTCTTCGATTAGATGCTATGATGAATAGCCCAAGTGCACAAGGGTTAAGATCAGACACTTTAGAAAGTCCATTGAAGAGAAAAGTGTTAACCCCATCTAATAAATTGTTAAATAGTCCTTGGAAAAGTATTTTAACTTCTGAATCAATTTTGAATAGCCCTGATAAGAGAGTATTGAGATCCGAAAGTCCCTTACGGAAAAAGTTTGCTGAAAACTGCCCACCGGTCAGTCCAGTGAAACAAATGGGGTGTAATGTGTCCAGCACTAGTCTTAGTTTGCCAGTCAAATCGATGTTTTCAGATAAACCATTATTCTCCATATTTGGAACTCCTGATCAGAGAAAATCATTAAAAAATATGGTTCCTAAAAGGTGAGTATAAAGGCCCTTACATGCTAGAAGATTGCTTGAATATAATTGCACCATATGTTAGTCCAGAAATGACTTAGTTTGTATTCAGTGGATGTAAGCATTTATTTCTGTCTTTGCCCTGCCATAACATGACCCAAAATACCATTCCTGGTAACCTCACATGGCTTTATCAACACCAAAGGAAACGTATGACATGTCGATGCAGTACATCAGACATGATATTAACATCTGATTTAACTACAATGGATTCGTCAAATATGTGAAAATAAAATACAAGCTTTTCAAAATGTACAACATGTCTGAATATAGAGATATTAATTTATACTTACATGGTATTATAAATATTTTGATTTTTCAGCCCTTCTGTTAAAAGTATATCACCAGGTTTGACACCAAAGTTGTCTCCTAAATTAAAAAAATTAATCAAAGACAAGGATGGTAAAAATGTTGAACAGTTGATTTTGGTGAGTTGAACATGTAAATGTAATTCTATTGGTCACCTGATTTAGAAGCTTCCGGTCTTTAAATTTCCTCAGGTATTGTCCAAATTAAATGATACATTTAAGATCTATCGTACTGCACATACATGTATAATGGCACCAGAACATTAGTAGCCTACCTGTATTTTATAGTAAATTGACAATTCAATATATACATCTCATCTTAGTCCCAGAATTAATTGTACTGTTCAAAGTAAAATTTGAAATAAATAATCTACATCATTCAAAGTTGTTCTAAATGATGCCTGGACCTGATGTGACTGAATACGCAAAATATTCAGATCAATATGGGGCGGAGGCCAGTGAAAGTGTGAAGAAACAGAACGAAATTCAAGTCGGTATTTGTGTAGAATCTCAAGAGAAAGAAAATCAAGTCATATTTGTTTAGATTGTTTAAAACTTAAATTTTAAGAATGTTACCAAATAAACTAAATATCGTTGATTTTTTTTAGTTACTGTCAGACAGTTTGGTAGAATGAAGTTTTCAATAAATATGTTGGCTGTAGAAATATATTGTGTTCTCTAACAGGATAAGCTTCTAACTTTATTATTTAAATCATAGGATGCTGGACAGAAGAAGTTTGGTGCTACAGTTTGTGATGTTTGTGGTATGGTGTATACACATGCTGATCCTGTAGATGAAACAACACATGCCAAGTTTCATATTAGTTTAATTAATACACTCAAATTTACCGTAAGTATACCATGTATTGTCAGAGCTCCTTTGTCTTGCTCCATCTGAGTTATTGTAACTTTGTTGTCAGATCAGGAGTACAGATCGAAACAGATTTCTTCAAATTTTACATGGAAAGTAGGCAAAATATCAGCTGTCTGGTCATTATCCTCCTTTCTCGCAGTCTGCTTGTAAAACTGTAACTCTGTCCCACAAAATAAAATGCTTTACTTCTGGGTGAGTGCCTCGGCAATATATGAAACAAACATGACACGAAGATTAAATGGTAAAGTGATTAAAGTAAGACAAAAATTATTCAAGGCATCATAATAAAACACTGTACATACTTTATGCAAATATTTATAAATAATCTAATTCTTTATTTTTACAGGGTTGGAAGAAAGAAAGAATTGTTCAAGAATATCCATTAGATGGAAGTCGAATTATTATGGTTTTAAGTGATGATCCAAAATATTCTACTAAAAAAGTAAATTTTATGCTTATCTTCAATGTGGTCTGATAGATTTTATGCAAAGAGTTTATCTGCAAGTCTTTTCCTAATAAACAGATACAACCTTTAATTTATGCCAAAAATAATAAATAATCAGCACTTTGTTTTATTTAACCAATAAACTCTCTTCGGTGTATCTTAAAATACTAGTAACTTAAATGTAACAATGATCCTAATTAAACAGGCATTATATAAGAACTAAATCTGCCTACTGCAGGTCTTTCTTTGGGCCTTTAATGTTGTATAAATTAGACATTATTAACATGACAAGACCATAATCAACTCTTGATGCTATCGGATGGCTCCGATTTTAATTAGATTATAACGGTTCGGCAATTTACTGATTATTTATAAATGGAAAATTGAGGCTAAGACTCGAATGACCAGGGCCCTGTTTCTGGAAATCTTAACTAAAGATAAAATCCAAATTTTAGTAGATACCTAAATTTTGATTGGCTAAGCACTAAAATCAATCTAATATTATCCAATCAAATTACTAAAATCTGGATTTTATCTTAGTTAACATTTCGTGAAACAGGCTCCTGTACAGTGGATACAATCAATGTTCACATCTTGCCAAAACTACAAACATTGATAACATTGCTCAAAGTAAAGTAATTTGAATGAAACTGTCAATATATTCATTTTGCATTATCTATTTTTGAAATATTATAACAAGAAACTGAATCTTACATGATGCCCCTTTAAGAAATCTGGATAGATAAATTGTTTGTCCTATACTATTCAAAAAAAGTAGGGGATATTTGATTTTTAAGTGTTATTAAAGTCACCTAATGAAACTGACGAAGAAACAAATGACAAAATGAAATGAAGTTCACATTCATCGATTTATTCCAAATGATCGTTAGACTAAGTAAGGCACAGACTGACCATTATAAGGGTAAAATGATACCCGGGGTCAAACAGCAAAGTTACCACAGCATCACAACCAAGTCAGTAACGGGTAAATCCTCCTCTGTTTGCCAAACAAGCATTGATCCGACGTGGCATGCTCCTAATGAGACGTCTACGGTCATTTTGGTCCAGATTGTCCCATTCCTGTTGCAACGCAGCAGCAAGTTCTTGGACATTGGCAGGACGTTGTTGACGTTGACGTAACCTCTGTCCAAGCATGTCCCAGACATGCTTGATGGGGGAGAGGTCGGGACTCAGTGCTGGCCAAGGTAATGTGGTGATGTTCTGTTGTTGGAGGTAACCTGTAACGATCCTGGCCCTGTGACATCTTGCGTTGTCATCCTGGAAGATGAAACGGCGGCCATGACGTCGTGCGAACGGCACAACATGGACTGCCAAGATGTTGTCCCGGTAGTACTGGCCTGTAACACGCCCTGCAACAACATGTAAAGCCGTTCTTCCAGCAACAGTGATGCCTCCCCACACCATAACAGAACCACCCCCAAATCGATCATGTCTGATGACGTTAACGTCTTGGAAGCGCTCGTTTCGACGATGCCACACCCTCCTACGTCTGTCCAAAAAATCAACAGTGAACCTTGACTCATCTGAAAACATCACATTGCTCCAGCGTCGATTATCCCAGTGTTGACGATCCCTACACCAACTACGTCTTGCCTGAATGTGATGATCTCTCAAACAAGGGATCACGCGAGGACGTCGGGCGCGAAGGTGACCCCTATGCAGTCGATTCCGAATCGTCTGGCCACTCACTCTCACACCAGTGTCTGTTTGAAGACGAGCGCTGATCTGATTTGCTGTGATGACAAGATTTCTCAAGGCCAAGGTACGGGTAAATCGATCCTGGGCTTGAGTTGTCGCCCTTGGTCGACCTGAGCGTGGTCTGTCCTGTACAGATTGTGTATCACGGTATCTGGACCATAGCCTGCTTATGACAGACTGAGAAACATTCATCGTCCGCGCCACAACCGCCTGTGTTGTGCCGATCTGTAGCATGCCAAGGGCACGTAACCTTTCATTTTGGGTAAGCCGACGCATATCAAAATTTGTTTTCTGGTCACTAAAACAATTAAACTGATGTTTCCACCCTGGAATTCAATGGCACAATGACTGTAACATTCAAAGTCAGAGTCGTGCAAATCTTGGGTTGGACCCCCATGATGATCCCAAGCATCACCTGCATTCCATGCGGTAGCTATTGGTGCGTTTGGGCGTCACATGTAACTGGAAATGTTTCTTCTGTTAGGTTCTATAGTGACTTTTTTCGTAGTCATTTGCATATTTTAGTATTATGCCCCCAAAATCAAATATCCCCTACTTTTTTTGAATAGTATATATACTATAAACATGAATTATCCCCTATATGAAATTAATTCACTTTCAGTTCAAATTGAAATAACCCTCAAAAAGTTTCAAATTAAAAGGTATCTCATTTAAATCTTGACAAGCCACTTTCAGTTCAAATTCAGTTAACTGAAAAGGTTAAAAGGTAATCACATTAAAATTGTCAAAGATTAAGGTCTGGTTGTATTAGTGATACAGCTAAGTTGATAATGTTTACTTACATCAATGATTGGATGTTTTTGATTTTGATTTATGTAGAAGAAATATTTGTTATAAATGTTGTTTTTAGGTTGCTGATATCAATAAGATAATGGGACAAGAATTGGGTTTTCCTGAACAGGCTATGTCTTTTCATTCCAATTACAAGGTAAAGCTTCATTAAAGATAGATTTTTCATCATCTATTTTTTAATTGTTGCTCTTGATCAAATCTTACATAAAGCATCTTTAATAATAGCTTCTGGCAAATTGTGTTAAACATTACTGTTCTAATAACGTATCACCTAAACATTTTAAATCTTTAAGTAGAAGGAAATGTAAGTAAAAGTTCAAGATGCTTTCTTATTCAATATTCCATACATTTTACCAACTCGATTATACTTATATACTGACAAGTTTTATCAATTGTGTTTGTGCCCTGTAAATATACAAGTAAAACGCAGCTGTTCCTGTCATGCTGTGACATTATCTGTGGACCTATGTATAGACTTACTTAAGTCATATCTTATGAAGAATGCAACTGTCCAAATACAAGCTACTCTGAAGATATATGAGTATTATACAATGTAGAAAATCAGAACCATGCAGACAAATCAGAAAAAAAGATCTAGCCTAATTTTAATTAGATTGGAAAAAGCATTCACAATAATTCTGTCACTCAAATTGGCAAAACAGTTGATTGTGAGGATCGCACATAGCATTAAATTTTCTATGTATTTTGTCAAATGTTTCTGCACGTTTTCATCTACAGGCATTTCTTTATATATCGGAGGAGAAGACAATAGAGGGATGTTGTATTGCTGAAAGTATAAATGAGGTATGTGTATTTAATTTTTTAAGAAAAAAGATTTAAAAGTTAAAACTTATTATATGATAAATATAAAGGCCACAATTTACAAGGCATTACAACTACATACTATGTCCATCAAGTGCGACATATACATGGATAATGTCATAATTTCGTGATAAAAAAACTAAGAAGAAATTCATTATTTGCTGACAACTTGTCCATTGATGTTTAATTCTAGAAGAGGAGATGTTTTAGTGCCAAATGCCCTGGTTGTGTTGAGGGAACATTAAACCCCATTAAACAGTTATTTTTGACAAGAATTTATTTCCATATTATATTTTGCAGGGTTTTCGTGTGATACCTGAACAGATTTCATCTGTACCTGTACCAAATGAATGTCATCAACAGCGACCATGGTACTGTGAAACAAAAGCAGAGAAAGCCGATATTGGTATCAGCAGAATATGGGTTTACAAATTAGCCAGACAAAAAGGTATCGGTTCCAGACTGTTAGATAGTGTAAGGTTAGTGGAATCTCAGTATTTTAATATAGCTCAGTTATTCACACTGTAACCCAGGTATCGTTTAATCTTGTGTATCTAGAACTGATTTCTTTCACATTCGTTTAATATCAAATCTTTGTTTAAAAATTTGTAAAAACTGTTTAAAATCACCATAAATCGTTTAATTTGTACTTCTGTCCAGTTTAAAGCTGACCATTCAATTTTGATAATGAGTGTCCAATTTACAAGTGTTTAATTTCTCAATCATTGTTAAAAAATAAACAACCCAATTGATTAATGATGTATAATGATTAATTTTTGAACAGTGATCAGGAAATTAAATACTTGTAAATTGGACACTCATTATCAAAATTAATCAGTCAGCTTTAAACTGGACACATGTACAAATTAGATGATTTTTGGTGATTTTAAACGATTTTTACGAATTTTTAAACAAAGATTTGATATTAAACGAATGTGAAAGAAATTAGTGCTAGATACACAAGATTAAACGATACCTGGGTTACAGTGTCAGCTTACTACATGTTTGCATCAGAATCTACAAAATACATAGAGCAAGGTTATGGGTCTCCTAGAATATGCAAGTGCCAACTTGCCCAGGTATCACATGCTTTTTATACGCCCACATTGAAACATCCATAATTTCTTGTAAACACTTTACACAGACTACATCTATTATCTGATTCTTAAAAATGATGTATGCTGTTGTTATTTCTGTTAATTATTTCTCAAGTTATTACTCTTGCTCACTTTATAGAATCTTCTGAACTGAAATTGATTAGGAAAACAATGCGCAATATTTTTTTGACGTACTTCAGAGCAATGTTATCATCTTACATTCTTTATATTCTCTAAGTAAAATTTTATGAGCTGTTCAGACAACTTTGCTGGTGAGGGACACATATGCATGTATCAATATAGATCAAAGCAAGAACAGTCCTATAATACAATTATAATACAAAATAGCTTCCGGTATTCACTGCTCGGATGACTTAACTGCTATGGGCCTATGTTTTGTTGCCTGGCAACCTAACTCTAATTTAGGGTGTGTCAACTTGGCGAAAATTAATTTGTAAATTTGTTTCTTACAGATCATGTTTTCATTATGGTGGAGTTATAGACAGAAAACAAATTGCTTTCTCAGACCCCACTCCAGATGGAAAGAAATTTGCTACCAAGTATACAGGCTCACCAGCTTTTCTAGTCTATAAATATACTCGATAGTGTCTTCATATTCTTTTTAGGACTAATGTATATCTAAGAGTATTTAGCTGTGTTAATGTTTATTAATTATCTGTAATATTTGTAATCGAGACATGCTTTCCAAATTTGTATACATATATTGTCATCACCGGTGTCTCTCTGTCCTCCCATAGACCACAGTTCTTTTCGGATTATGTAAAATGAGGCATAACAGGTACCTCTATCGAAAATTCTGATTGTTTTGAGTATTTACCCTACCTATACATTCCCGATTATCCACCGTCCTTTACTTTCATATTCATTATGTACATGTAGTGCTGAACAGATGATTTTTAAAACTCCTTGAGAATGCACATTGTTGCATGAGAAAAAATTCTATTAAATTTTGATATGTTTGGTTTGTAAATATGAAACACCTTCTGCTGAGTTATCTTTCAGTTCACATTTCGACAGTTAATTCTTGTTATTTATGTGATAAAAGATAAATTGCTCAATGGAATTATGCAAAGATATTTTTCAGAGTTATCCCCCATTTTCCAAAAACCTTGTTAACCTGACAGAGACTTTATTTTTTAATGGATTTTTTCGAATTTGGTTTGAAGATTTAGGGTCATGTCGGAGGATGAACCCTATCAATTTTCAGTCATCTAAGATTTTCTGTTAAAGAAATATATTATTTGGAAAAGCTTGTGAACAGGATATAGATTTCATTTAAGTTTTCCTTTTGCATAACTTGTCCAACCTTGTGGGTTTTCTCCGGGTCCTTCGGTTTTCTCCCACTGCTAAAAACCCCTAAGTGCTAGCTAATTATTGAAATAAAATTAAACCATGTGTTATTCCCGAAATGACCTAGTTTGTCGAGTGGATGTTAAACCCCATTTCTCTCTCTTTTGAATAATCTGCTGTTGCGAAATAGCTGCTGTGTGGGCATTTATCCACACTTTAAGTGACTATCTTTTTAAAGTAGCTCTATGGTTTTCATTGTTGTCCTAAAAAAAAAAATCAAATAAAAATGTAATTGACAACTGATTTTAATCATATTGCTATTAACCCTTTAACATTTGGTACATTTATATATTGCTATTAACCATGTTTGTTGAAAATTATTATTATTGTATATATTTTTTAAGAACTTTCACAGTGTTTATAAGCTATTAATATATATAATTGTTATTGGAATATATATATACAATGAATACCTGTGTTGTAATATATAATTATAATTGTTATTGGAATATGTAAGCTTGTAATATGTATGCCTGTATTGTAATAAATTTGCTTAATATCAACGTGTTTATATGTTGTGAAGATGATCTGCCTGATACTATAAGTCTTTATGAGTCTGTGTCAAATATATTGATAGAAATATCATCAGAAATGAAGCCTCGGTCATCCTGGATGTGCTTTTTATGTGGAAGTATATTGCCATCACCCCTGTCTTTATGTGTGTCGTCTACAGGCTACAATTCTTAAGTGATCATCTTGAAACTTTACATACTTATTCCTTATACACTAAGGATGATCCCTATTGTTTTTGGTGCATGCCTGACCCCAAGGGTCAGCCACGCCTATTTCTTGTATTTGTTTGTCGGCTACAGGCCACATTTCTTAATGTATAATCTTGAAACTTTGAATACTCATTCTTTGTACCCTAAGGAACATCCGTATCGTTTTGGGTGCATGCCCAACCCCCAGGGGGAAGAGCCATGCCCATTTTCTTTTTGTCTATCTGTCTTAATCCATCGTCTTGAAAAAATTTCATATGAATTCCTTATACCCCAAGGATAATCGCTATTGTTTTTGGTGCATGCCCGACACCCAGTGGCAGCGCCAACCCAATTTCTTGTATTTATTTGTTTGTCATCTACAGAACACATTTCTTAACGTATCCACTTGAAACTTTCCATACTTATTCCTTCTATCTTAAGGAACATCCCTATAGTTTGAGGTAAATGCCCAATCCCCAGGGGCAGAGCCATGCCCATTTTCTTTTTGTGTGTCACTCTACACATAATTGACGGAAATTCGTAAAATTTAATAGAGTTCTTCATTTCACTAATCTAAATGATGCATATAAATTTCACACCACAAAGATCGAACCAAAACTTTTGTCGTTAAAGTGTTCACAAGGTGCGACTTCGTGAAACAAGGGCCAGAACACCAGGCGTAATTATCAGAAATTGCTGAAATCCAATAGATTCCTTCGTTTCACTACTATAGGTAGGTGTTACATAAACCAATTTCATACAGATCGAATAATAACTAAGGGCATTGGACCGTTCACACGATGCAACAAAGTGAAACAAGGGCCATAATTCCAGAATAGATTAATGGACGTAAATAGACTTCTTCATCTCACTAATGTAAACAACATATATCAATTTCAAAACAATCAGATGATAAATGTACTCTGTAGAGCGTTCACATGAAATTGTGAACGACGGACAGACCGTCGGCAATACAAAACCCCCCTTTTCATGCTGACATATAAAAATGACATATACACGGGTCATAATTGTCAAAAATGTTTGTTAATCCTTATTTCATACCACTTTTGGATTTTCGGCTCTCCTGAGTTTTCAGAGGTAGCAAACTACAGATATATGCACTAGGTGACTATGGTCCCTTCTATCAGGAACCATGCTCAATCAACCCTTGTTCGCCGAGAAAGGTAGGACAATACATGTGGTATAGAAGGGGTGGGGTAGTGGTGGTGTGTATATTTTTAGCTAGAATGAAATGAAATAGGGTTTAACGTCCGACTGGGCTGATGGAGACGGGTAACTAGAATGAGTCAAGCCAGTGGCAACAAGAGCATCGCTAACACTGCAATATACGACCACATCCCTGCTTTGATTGATATGGTACTTTTTAAAACGAAGAGAATGAAATATGAAATGGCTGTAATATGACAAGAGGCAAAGAAGGCTAGGCGTTGGTTTTGTTTTGCCAAATTTACAGACAAAATATTAACAAAAAAGTGGGTGTGACACTGCCCCATGGTGTCGGGGCATGCACCAAAATAAATAGTTGCTGTCTTTACGGTATAAGGAATAGATGTTCAAAGTTCCAAGATGATCCATTCAGGATTGCAGTCTATAGACGATAAATATATAAAAATTGGGCGTGGCTCTGCCCCCTGGGGGTTGGATATGGAACAATATAAATAGGTACCACCCTGTTATTGAAATGATTGATATACTGAATTTGAACAAAATCTGTTAATTATTGCAACCTGTAGAGTATTTACCGATAAAAACTAACAAAGAAGTGGGTGTGGCACCACACCCCTGGGGGTCGGGATATGCACCAAAATAAATAGTTGCTATCGTTACAGCAGTGATTCTCAACACTTCCTAAGTCTGCTGCGCAATTTTGAATTGCACACTAAGAAAATGCGAAAAACCACGTGATCCAAATTGAGTATTCACTGGTGTCCACTGGTACAACCCTATGCTGGATTATTTCGAATTGGATCCAAATCTGTTAATAATTGCAACCTGTATATCATTTACAGACAAAATATCAACAAAAAATGGGTGTGGCACCGCCGAAAAGGTTGGGGTGGAGGAGGGGGTTGTGCGCCAACATCAATAGTTGCCGGCCTTAGGGTATAAGGAATAAGTACACCAAGTTCCAAGATAATCCATTCAGAATTGCGGCCTGTAAACGATTAACACAAAAATTGGGCGTGGCTCTGCCCCTGGGGGTCGGTACAGGTATTTGTCATATGCAAAGTTTCAAGATGATACGTTATGAAATGCGGCCTGTAGACGACAGACAAATAAAAGAAATGGGCGTGGCTCTGTCCCTTGGGGTCGGGCATGCACCAAAATCAATAGGGATCATCCCTAGGGTACAAGGAATAAATATGTAAAGTTTCAAGATGATCACTTAAGAATTGTGGCCTGTAGGCTACACCCCCCACACACACACACACACACACACACGCACACATGAATGTGGACGTATAAAAAGCACATCCAGGATGACCGAGGCTTCTATTCTGGTGATATTTCTATCAATCGATTTGACACAGACTAATTAAGACTATGTAGGGTTGATATTTTGAGGTATTTGGACGTGGGCCATCTCTGGCCCAAACATGACAAACTTCTCGCATAATATTATTTTTTCAAATGTTTTGAATATAAAGCAAAAAATTTAAAACCTTTTAACAAATTGACAAGATATTCTTAGATACCAGTTACAAAAATAAGTTTTATTTATCAGTAGTGAGTCAATAGCTGTCAAGTGTTATCCAGACTATGGCCTAACGTGGCAACATCTGGCTGGATATGGGCCACACCCCGTCAGATGTTGCCATATGTGGGCCATAGTAGGGCCAAAGTTGAGTGGCTGTTTGGGGCTATTCCTCTTGATATTTCATCAGGGTTTCCCTTTGCCAGAGATCCAATTGGATGGAGCTGACAATTAGCTCGTTAAATCCAATTTTATTTCACTTCCAAAACCCTAAGCTTATCATACTATGTTGTATCTATTATTAGGGTGGTATAAAAACAATAGGGTTAATCATAAATGTTTCATCCATTTGAGAGTTCGGAATGTCAAATAAATAATTTGTAATGGTTCTAATGTCTAATAATTTGAAGTCGAAAGTAAAAATAAGCGGAAAAGAAAGAAATCGAAAGTTAAATTAGCGGAAAAGAAAGAAATCGAAAGTTAAATAAGCGGAAAAGAAAGAAATCTGTATAAGCCCATATTAGGCAATAAAAGTATTTTATACCAAGAAAAGGAATAGTTATACAATATTGTCTTTCATGAACAGATTGTGTATGTTGGCTCATGTCATCACATTTGTCCATCGCCCGTCAACCCTTTCGGCGTAAACAATTCATCAATTTCTCCAAAACTGTGCTATAGCTTTCAAAGAAATTTGATAAATATGTGGCCAGGATGGTTTTATTTAAATTTGTTCAAATGCAGTTGCAAGGTATTGGACAGAATCACCTTTAATAATCAGAATTAAGGCATCTTAACTTATAGTCTTCTTCTTCAGAATGATTGAAAGGATTTCTTTTGAAATTTTTCAAGAATCACCCTAAGACGAGAAAGGTACAGTTTTGTAAATTGAACGGGCTGGACCCCATATGAGAGGATCAGGACTTATGGGCATATTGAAACATTTTTAACTTTGAACTCTAGAAGTGTTTGATATTATTTTAATATTAATGACGTGTATGAATATTACACAGGATGCGATTAATCAGGTTTGTTCAAATGAAGCTATTAGGCTGGTCATTGGCACCTTAAGTGGACAATTTTATGTACTTTGGACTTTCAACTAAATTTGAAAGGTATTACAGTCGTGTAGGTTACAATTGGCCTATTTATATGTTGCAATTTTTATCTAGAATGTTCCATATAATAATTATTTTAATAAAAGTTAGTGGCTTACACGAAAAGTAGTTTCCCTTTTAGGTGGTGCAGGGAGGAGAACCTGGCAAAGAACAGCGTCTAGTCGGTCGGATGGGAGGAAAAAAGGATTTGTGTACAAATGCCAGCCCGGGAAATTTTTTGCACAAGCCACACTACACTGGCGTATGCATCAATCCGCATTTTCTTTCATTTTGTTGGGCTGTCCAAGAATACAATAATGTTATGTAAATACGAATTGCCATTAATCCTTTAATTTTTGTTTTATTATATACTGTATTACATCCGTTCCATGTTGATCTCTACATAGAAACAACTACATATAAATGTCACTTTGATTTAATCAAAGTAATGTCCATTCTAAAAATAGTCTTACGTTATGGGCATTCATATTAGCAGTAGAAACTTAAAACTCGGTGTGCAGGAGGAGACTGAGTGGTCCTATTAATGACCGGTCCTACTAATGACCAAAACCAATTATTGTCCGAATAACAGATCATTCAAATTTGATTCCAAAATTGTCAATTTTTTGCTTATTTTTCTATTAAAGGCTCAATACCACTCTTGTTGTAGCTGAATAATATGTCCCAAACTTTATTCTGGCCAACAAATTGTACTATTTTACAATATTCCAATTAATTAGCGATACAAATTTCATCTTAACACACCTAATTTAAAAAATTGGAAAAATTCAACTAAATGATTTGAAAAGCCTAACGTAAACCTTTTCAAATGTGACTTGGATTTAAAAATATTTTCGAACCCTCTGGACAAGTAAAATAGGATGTAATGGATAATTTACACAACAGGTAGGACACTTAAACATCTAGTACTTAGAATAAGTCCCTTTAAAAAATATTATTCAAATTTGCCAGGTAGTTATAAACTGAATCAATCTAATATTCTGTTGGGATATATCTGGGCACTACCCCTGCAGCCGTATTATTAAATTCGTGGAATTAAAAACGAAAATAGAATCGGTGAAAATGGCTTAATTGTAAATCTATAAAAGGGCAATGATATAATGTGATTCGAAGAAAGAATGTATTTCACATTAAATACAAGTACCGGATAACTTAATTGTAACCGGGGACTTGATTTCCGTTGTATATATATTTCATTATAAAATAGAATTTGAGCTGGTCTTATCTCGCGGATTGCACGTTATCTTGGATTACAATCGTATGTGCACGCGTAATATCACGCTTAGTACTACATCGTGACTTTGGAGTAAACCATGGTGTACAAAGTTTTAACGGCATGTGCACTGTTGATTTCCACAGCTATTCCAGGTTCCTTGCAAGGTGAGCCATTAATAAGACCCGTTTTTGGGTTTGTTTTTTTTTAAATATGCACACGGTTGTAATTTCACCTTTCGCATTTTTTAATGTTTTATTAGATGTTATGAAAATGTTACATGGCCGATCTTTATTTGAAACTTACATAGACCCCACAATATAACCAAATTAGGGATTTAAAACTTACATAGACCCCATAGTATAACCAAATTAGGGATTTGAAACTTACATAGACCCATAGTATAACCAAATTAGGGATTTGAAACTTACATAGACCCCACAATATAACTAAAATAGGGATTTGAAGTTTTATTTTAATATATCTCCATACAACCAAACCAAGCAACCAGACCCGGCCAGCCTTTTAGTAATGAAACCATTTGAAACGAAACGATTAAAGACGTGCATTATGTAGGAGCTAAATCTGCCTATTACAAATTTTTATTTTGGCTTAAAATTTTATAGAAATTATCATTTAGACATTTATTCACACAGGGCTATAATCAACTCTCTAGATCATCTGAGAGCGTAGATGTAAACGGATTAATGATTTAATATAAAAACGGAGAATCGATGCTGAGTCTCGATTAACAAGTAACGTTGTTATGATAATAAACAATCTTTGTCAAAACTTTGTCAAACAGTGATAACGTCGTTCATTATAAAGTAATTTGAATGAAATATTTTCAACATATTAATTTTGAATTATCTTTTTTGGAACTATTATAGCAATAATGGCTAGCACTTTATCTAATCGTACATAATGCATCTTCAATCTATGAAATTTTTCATTATTTACAAAATTTAATAATTCGTGAGAAGAAGTTTCCCATGTAAAAATAATATATAATCCCGTCGATTCACACTTAAAATTAACCTATTTTTGACCATATCGGGGGTTATCAGATTTTTGTAGCACAGACGAAATGAAGTGTGATGAGTGAACGGAATTTAATGGGGTTTAACGTCCTAGTGTTCTGTCCCGACTGGGTTAATGAAAACGGACATACGCCACACAGTTTACTATGAGGAAAATGTTTCACGGCCTACTTTTGTATTGAATTGCAAGTGTACAGGGACATTTTACGTGCACACGGAACCTCGGTCTTTACGTTGTCCCGTGTCAGACTCTCCGTCCTACATAACTGACAAGGGGGTACCACGCCGAAAAAAAAGGTGAACTTTCTCCACGAACGCAGGGATCGAAAGCGGGACCTCCAGTTCCTATAATTATAATACTGACATATAATCTGGGGGTAAGGGTTAGGTTACTCTAAGGTATTCTTATAGGACCCGACGGTCCAGGGGTCTTCAATGCCATATGCACATAGTTAATAAATTTATAGATAATTATCAGTCACAAATGATACATTATACTCCAGTACAAAAGGTTTGAGGCCTGGAATAAGTAGATATGATCGGGACTCCCGAAACGCAACTATTAAGTAATGCTTTTGACGACACCACAAATGGGTATCAAACTGTTAATTGCGACCCCTGGGGAAGTACAAATCTTCCATAATAATCAACTTTTGGGATTAAGTCTCTTCTGATTTTATGGGTACCATTGATCGACTGGCAAAGCCCAATCCACCTTAAATGCATATCTTAGGTCACTTCTTAGTAAATCAAAGGGCACTTAATAATTGAATTGCCCCAGGGGAGCACAAGGAACAATTTGATGCCTATTTTGTGCTTTCACTGAAGATGTGTAGTGAAATATGCATCCAAAATGAATTGAGAGTGGCTGACCAATGGTGACCTTTGACCTACTCAGAAGTGGGTTAATCCACACAATTGACTATTTAGAAGGGTTCATGGTGTCGCAGAGACCCCAAAGAACAGTTTTATATTCATTTGGTGCTTGTACTGAAGATATGTACTGACGTATCCATTTAAGGTTGATTGGGCGTGTCCGAGCCATGGTCATCTTTGACGTAATCAGAAGTGGGTTATTTCCCCAATTTGGCTGTGACCGAACAGTGGTGCCCTTCGACCTTTGCTAGCTCCTGGACTATTACTATTAACGATACATACTTAATGGGAATAAGACGTTGGCTCACTAACCAAAATATCCGGAGTTCGATCCGGATGTTAGCCGAGAAATTTCCTCTGCTAGTGGCCACGTTATGTTGACCATTGAGACAAAAATGATATCTTATTACCAATACCGTTTCTTTACCAGGAGAAAACTTGGTTTGTCCGAGTGGCTGGACCAGACACAATGTACAATGTATTAAAGCTGTAGCACAGATGTTAAACTGGGAAGAGGCGTCATTATATTGCAAACGCCAAAAGGCCGACAACTCATCATCTCTAATTGAAATAGATAATGTGGAGACAAATAACAAAGTTAAAGGTATCAAGTGACCTGATTCTTTTTATACACCCATATTTAATGTGGACGTATATTGTCATCACGTGAGTTCGTCGGTCCACCAACACAACAATACAAATTTCTTGATAGAACAATCTGATTAAAACACAAATCCTATTTCGTTTCGTTTTTATAGTTCAAAATTTCGTTTTACTTGTCTTTACTACACTAGGATCTGGAAGAGTTGTTATCATTGTCGTGTTCTGAATGATGTGAGGGAATAGCTAATGAAACAGTCTGTTAGGTGTGAGGTGCACGGAACTGTGGGTAAATGACTAGAAACATCAACGCTGATTGGTTAATCAAATGTCTGGCGTCATAGGGTCAAAAGCCGCTCGTATAACCTCTGACGCGACCTTCGCACTACAACTGGTCAAATCTTCATGTAGTGTAGGCCATCGAAAGTATAAAAAAACGAAATGAAATATAGATCTGTATTTTAATAAGATTGTTGATAGAACTGGGGCATAAGGGAAAAAAATTCTTTGGATCGTAGATTTCAAAAACATATCTAGGAGTTATCTTTCCGTTCATATTTTGACTGTATATATTTTGCAGGATTTGTTGATAAACCTTTTTATACGTCCACATTTTCATGTGGACGTATATTGTCGTCGCCCCTGTCCGTCCGTCCGTCCATCAACAATTGTTTGTGAATACTCTACAGGTCACAATTTGTATCTGATTTCAATGAAACTTGAAATATAGGTTTATCACCCTAAGATCACGTTTTTGGCTTGTGAACACTGTAGAGATAACAATTTTTATCCGATTTTGTTTAAACTTGAATGTATGTTTATAATCCACAGATCTTGGTTCCTTTCGATATTCGCGCATATAGGACCATAACTTCCTGAATTATGGCCCCTGATTGTACGGAAAATGGCGTGTTTAGCTTGTGGACCCTATAGAAATCACAATTTTTATCCGATTTAAAAAAAACACAAACGTTCAAATATATCACCGTTACATCCTAAGAATGATTGAGTTCGAATTTCGTGAAAATCGGACCGAAACTACTGGACAAAATGGCCACCGCTCGTTCACAAATAGTGTCAAAATATATTGTGTATAAGGGTTGTGGACCCTCTAGAGATCACAATTTTGATCCGATTTCGATGAAACTTGGAATGCATGTTTATAACCCAAAGATCCTGGTTTCTTTTTATATTCACACATATGGGATCGTAACTTCCTAAATTATGGCCCCTGATGGTACGAAAAATCACGCTTTTAACTTGTGGTCCCTCTAGAGTTCACAATTTTTATCCGATTTAAAAAAACCGTTTTATTATATCACCGTTACACCTTAATTATGGTTGAGTTCGAATTTCGTGAAAATCGGACCAAAACTGCCGGACAAAATGGCCGCCCCTTATACGCAAATAGTGTAAACTATGGTATATCAAGGTTTTGGACCCTCTAGAGGCCACAATTTACATCCGATTTTGATGAAACTTGGAATACATGTTTATATCTTTGCTCCTGTCGATATTCGCGCATTTCGGGTCTTACTTCCTGAATTATGGCCCCTGATTGTACGAAAAATCGCGCGGTTAACTTATGGTCCCTCTAGAGGTCACAATTTTTATCCGATTTAAAAAAAACCAAAACGTGTGAATATATCACAGTTATACACTAATGGTGGTTGCGTTCGAATTATTACGTGAACATCGGACAAAAATTGTACGCAAATGGTGTAAAAATATAGTATATCCAGCTTGTGGACCCGCTAGAGACCACAATTTTTATCCGATTTGGATGAAACTTTAAATATATGTTTTTATCATAAAGATCTTGGTTCCTTATGATAATCACACATATCCGAACGTAACTTCCAGGATTATGGCCCTTGATTGGTCGAAAAATCGCATTTTTACACTGTGAATTCTCTAGAGGCCACAATTTTCTTTCCGATTTTAAAAAACCGTTTAGATATATGACCATTCCACCATAATGAAGGTTGAATTGGAATTTCGGGAAAATCGAAATGAAACTACCCGACAAAATGGCCGCTCTTTGTACGCAAATTGTGTATAAGTATGTAATACAAAGGTTATGGGCCCTCTAGAGGTCACAATTTTTATCCAATTTTGATGAAACTTAAAACATCTTTATATTCCAAAAATCTCAGTCCCTTTTGATATTTTGCGCATTTAAGACCATAACTTTCTGGAGTATGGCCCCTGTTTGTACAAAAAATCCTTTTTGTTTTTAGCTTGTTTTCTATCCATCTCTTGCAAAATGTGGGCGTATCCTGCTGGCAGCTGCTGATTAATCTTGCACGATTTTTTTTAAATCATGCACTCCTTTGCTACAGGCTTGTTTGGGTTTTTTTTCTAATTTTAATCCCCAATCATTTTATTCACTAATTTTATAGTTTAATAATAATCTAATTTGTAATTGAATCTCAATATTTTCTTTTTAAGATTTAGATATAAATAGCCCCCCCCCCCCCTCCCTGCTCTGAGTGAGCTATGTTACTCATAATTTTATATTTTGTGTTTTAGCTCTTATAGTTGATACCGGTGTGGATTATTGGATTAACATTAGATCAACAATAAGTACGAGAGAAAAATATGTTCGTCACAATTTTGGTTATCAACGAACACAAGTTCACTATTCTTATCTTAGCTGGAATCAGACAGAAACAAAAGTACAGGTATAAATACGATAGTTTAATGCACATTACATGATTACCCGAGTATTTTAACTGTTGCATCATTATTTGGGAACAAAAATAGCCATTGAATTAACTGATTTTTGCTGATAACTTTCATAATTATTGTCCTCGATTAATTTGCAATATCTTGTGATCTCGCCTTAAATAATTGTTCAGGTTTTCAATAAATACTTACCTTTCACAAGTTTTACAATTAAGTAATGCGTTTGTCGAAACAATTAAAATTGCAGAAGATAACAATATTACATAGTTCCCACTTAAAGGGGAAACCAACGATTTTCGACAAGGTTTCCTTAAATCTTAAATATATATTGATACCCCACCCCACCCCGTAACACAAGCAAAAAGGTTCTTGTAAGCGAGAAATTTTTTTAAAACCGGAAGTGATGTAGTTGGTTCAGCATGCTCTCTGGTCTCTATAGCAAGCATACATATTTGGCATAAGTTTGTTCACTCGACGTCGTTCGGATGAGAATCCGACCAAAAGGGACTGTTTATTTGGATATTATAAACATGGAATAATTTTGGGTTTTTTTAACGGTTAATACACAAATCCGACGCGTACTGAATTGACGTTGTGGACCAATTCACAACACACGGCCAATTCTTTACATCACGTGGTTTGCTTGACACCCGACAAGTGAAACATATTTCATCTGCTTGAATGTTTTTGTTCGTGCTGAGTCTGCTGACTGTGCTTGTGTTTATTTCAACGGACTTGTGGCGCATATATATTCACATAAATATATAAATTTCCAAAGTATGTCAACGTCAGACACCAACGTATCGAAATATAAGATATCGCTTCTATGGGTCTACAGTAATGCCGTACAGATTCGAGTCCAACCATTCTCAAAAGGAAATGGAAGAAAAAAAGGAAAAGCCGCTCACGTCGACATTATGTACCAAAATGCACTATATTATATGTCTCACGTGCCCATAATTTTGGTCTGTTTATGTTGAAAAACACTGTCAGCAAGCACAAAAACATCGAAGCAGACGAAATACATGTCACTTATAATTGCAAGCTGCCAAACAAACCACGTGATGTAAGTAAACATTTAGCCATGTGGCGTGAATTGGGCCGCAGCGTACTGTTCGGTATGAGTGAATTTACGCGACGGCTTTGTGTACTAAACGATAAAAAACCCTCATAAATTCATGTTTATAATATCCTAATGAATAGCCCATTTGATCATTTTTTGGCCAAAGGACGACGCGTGAACAAAATCTAGCAGTAAACTTATGCCAAATCTGTTTACTACAGAGCCCAGTGAGCGTGTTGAACCATTAATTTCTCGCTTACAAAAACATTTTTGCTTTTTTTACAGAAGGGATTATATATGAATATATATTTAAGATTTATGGAAACCTTGTTGAAAACAGGGGGATCACGGTAGCTAAGTGGGTAAGACGCTGGCTCACTAGCCTGGAGGTCGGGTGTTCGATTCCTGCATTGGCCGAGAAAGTTCATCCAGATTTTCCGGCGTGATTCCCCCTTGTCAGTGATGCAGGATGGAGGGCCTGACAATGACAGCGGTCTAGTCGTTCGGATGGGACGAAAACCGAGGTCCCGTGTACACATTGGCGTGCACGTAAAAGATCCCCTGGCAGTTGGAATTTGATATAAGAGTAGGCCCTAGCGCCACTGCCCGGGCAAAATTTCCCTCATAGCACACTGTATGGCGTATGCCCGTCTTCATTAGCCCAGTTCGGAGCAGAACAGTAGGACGTTAAACTCCATTTCATTTCATTTCATTGTTGAAAACAGTTGTTCTTCCCTTTTAAATATATTATATATAATACGCAACCTTACTACTTGTTGAAATAATAAATGGAAATATCAGGATTCTAAATCTGGCCATTCATTACTATTCAATGTGTCTGTTTCTATTTGCACCTCCTAATATTTATTTTCAGAATGGATATCTTAACTTTGAACAGATGATGAGATCATATGAATACGAGGACACTGAAGATCGATGCGGGTATATGTCTGATGATGGGAAATGGCACGATGCTAAATGTAGAGCTAGGAAATCGTTTATTTGCAGCAGAAGTTTAGGTCAGTGATTTCATTAGCGAAGTTAAATGGTGGCGGGTGGTGAGAGCGAGGTTATTTAAATGTTTCACTTTCGCCCGTCTTGACTTGTTATGTTGCTCCACACATTCGTCTATTAAATTAAATTTGCTAATGAAAATTTCCTCGGGTTTAAATTTTGATGCTTTCACCGGAATACATTGGTCTCAGTGTTTGGCCTACATTCACTACTTTTGAAATTTTCTCAGAAATAATTATATAGCTTCAGAAAGATTAAAAAATCTTCAGGAAACGTTCATTTGTATGTACTAACGACTAACAGTATTTCGTACTCACAGCACCAGCTTAGAATTATCAGTTGATTTTTCTGAACGAATTTGCATTCATAAATAATATATATACTTAGAACTAAGGGCGGACTATGTCTCGGGCCGTTAAAGGTGACCCGATTGGAAAAGAAATTTGTCATATATATGTCATATATATATTTTTTTCAAAAAGAATATAATTCATCTTCGCATATAAGAGGAGAAAAATGCTCTATGGTTTCGTGTCGCGTAATCTTTACAGTGGTGGGAACGGGGGAGATGCAACGAAACCAGTCGGTTCGACGACACGGAGGTGCCCCCACCCCACCCTTGTCTAGATCTGGACATATAACATTTTGTTCACCATCTATAATCATGAGTAGAATTGAATCGAGTTATTAAAGATGATTATCTTATTATGCTGTTCAACAGATTGTGAAATGGGATATTATGGTCCAAACTGTGATGAAGTATGCCATTGTTACCAATCACAATGCGATCAAGATACAGGAGTATGTGACTATGGATGTAAACATGGATGGATGGGATTTAGATGCGACCAAGGTAAACTATATTTATTTACTTACTAAGAATCACGTAGGTCTTAAATAGAATTGATTTTCTACTGAAAATGAAGTTATTTCAGTTATAGAATTTTAAAAGTGTCCTGTTAAAAATTGAAATTATGAATTAAATGTCAATCTATTTCAAAAACCTAGGAGTTAAGTCCAGTCTGTAACTATAAGATCAACCCCTATTACCTAAAACAAAAAGATCAACCACTATTTCAAATTGCGTTGTGGAAGATTTTTTTCTAGGTATAGGCTTTTGACACGGAACAAGGTGCATTTCCCCAATAATTTATAAAATTAATATAATTTTTATAGATTGATTTATACAATTTTGTGGTTTTGTTTGCATACATTTATCATTTTATTTGTTTTTGTTTCAGTGAAAGCAGCAGCAGAAGGTAGAAAATCTCAATAAATCAAAATTAACTGCTTTCTTTTAGTTATGTATATCAGGTCTATCATTACTCTTATTTTAACTTAATATGATGAGGCATTTAAAACAAATATTCCGGGAAATTAAAGACTTAAAAGCCACAGATTTTTATTTGTATTTTTCAAAAAATGTATAATTATAACTTCTTAATTCACGCGAAAAAAACCCAACTCAAAATGATTATTGTAGCAATATGCGTCAGCGGTCAGATGTGGAAAGCTCGAACTGTCAAAAACCTCACCACGTCCAACGTGTGACGTATATCCCATGTGGTCTTCTAGATTTATATCTGGTCATATTTTATATATCTTTTCTCTTGTCTAGGACTCTACTTTAAGCGTTGTGAATTTACTTTCAGCTTACTCAGTTTATCCTGTTATCTTCACAATATTTCACAAACAAACCACCTGTGTTCCCATACAAATACTATTTTTCATAGATAAGTGCGTGTCATCTTCATCTACTGGTTCATATCATTCAAAATGTTACCACAGATTTCCGTTCTAACGTGTGTTATGCTTGTATAGTTGAGCTAAAATTCACATATTAGCCTAATCAAACCAAATGCCCCCCCCCCCCCATCAACCCATGCCATCAAACAACCACCCTTTCTCACAGGCACACAGACAGACAACCCATTACCTCTACATTAAACGAAATATCTCCTTTTCACCAGAATTTCATCGTACGCAATAATATTAAAACATTGCATTTTTCAGTGGCAACGTACTGTGTTAATTCTCCAACCAAAGGTAAATATGCTCTGTTAAGGGTTGATAGAAAAAACGTAAAATATGACAAAATCTACATCATCAACGAATCACAGGATACACCATCATCTACAACATGTGATCAAGGAATGTTTAACGAGGACGTTGACGGTGTTTTAAACCTCAAGATATTAATTGAAGATGATAATACAACATCTCCCAGTTGTTACTATACAAAGGTACGTATACACTCTTGTTACCATTCACAGGTACGCATACACTCTTGTTACCATTCAAAGGTACGCATACACGGCGATGGTCATTGCTAATATGTTTTGTTAATGAGTGTAAAAGTCAGAAAGGTACGTCGACACACTGAATTATCATGGCTAAGTCGCCTTTCAAAAAACAGATTACGAGTGTCAATTTAGAAATAAAGTGAACTGATATACAGTTGATTAATTTTTCTGTTTTTAAACAGAAAGATTGAAATATAACCATATCGCTATAATATATCACCACCTTTAAAAAAAACTGTTACCATTAAATTTATCCATTAACAGACGGACAAGGGAGTCGTCAAATGGACATTAAGAACAGAAGAAGTGTCTGGTTTCTTTAGTTACTATGACAGATTATATGAACTGAGTTGTGATTTTACAACAGCAGAAACTTTGACAAGAAATTATAACAAACAGGCTATAAGTGGGTAAGTTTTGTTTAAAGGATTTCATTAATATTATTTTGTGGGTTCTTGCCACAAAAAAAACATGCTGCAATATTGTTTCAACAGCTCGACCTTACCTTCTAAATACGTAAAATCCACTTCAGTAGATTTAATGGAAATATTTTTTAGTTTGCTGAATAAGGCGAAATTCTAATTTTATAAATGACAATTTTTATTTAAAAGTGCACCTTGTGTTGTCTTTATTTTGTTTTATCTTGTTCTCCCCAGTATATATCAACCCAGCAAAGTAAATATCATCCAGACTACCGAGGACGTCCAGCTATTCATTCTGAACCCAACAACAACCAGTCGTGTTTCGCAAGTACAGATTGGCTCCAGAATTCAACTGGCAATGATATTAAATAAACGTGATGACGTAACAGCCTCCGGTCAGTAGACGCTTATTTTCGTTAAGCACATTATATTAAAGCGTAACTGAGCAGTGATGTGAAATGGAAAATAATATCTATGTCGTTTATGAGAATTCCACTGTCATTATCTACTAATAAATGTATACTTTTGTAACAGGTATTTCACCATATAACTGTTCCTGTTCTACACCTGATGGGAAAACAGTTCATCAACTTACAGACTCTAGGGGGTGAGATTTACTTTAAAGAAATCGATTGGCTTAATTTAAGAAAACTATTTCCTTTGGTATTTTAAAATCCGCTTATAATAAGAAACGAAATTCACTTGAAGAGATTACAAATAATATGTCTAGTCTAGACTATTTCAGTTGGGACAAGGTCAATTAAACCACCATTTCACCAGATATTTCTTACCTGATCATCTCGCAATTTATTGGTATGAAAGACTAGACTTTAATCGATCCTTATCCTGTATCCAGTTTCAATAAATTGGTCATTGTTTTAATTACAAATGAAACTTGGAGTGATATGATCACGATTTCCAAAACCATCATCCTTGAACGAGGGGGGGGGGCACAGCCCCACTTCGGCATAGTTTCATTTTCACCACTGAACAGTTACCCGCCCATCGAGAGGCTAATTTGTTCGCTTGTTGTTAACTAATGTGTGAATTAACCCAAATCTGTATCATTACTGTAGATTAGTAAGCAAGGTGCACCAAAGACATCACTACCGGTTTTTAACTACAAAAAAATAATTAACTATTCGCTTACAAAAACTTTTTTGCACGTGTTAGAGCCGTAATGATATTTTGTAATAATTTTGTTAGAAATTTGTTGGGTTTTTTTTTTGTCATTTAAATTATAGTAATCAATTTCGGCAATTGTTCTTACAAACAAATTTGTTCTAAATAATGATTTAAATTGCTAATGAAACCGGGCATGACGTAAAATTTGTCGTAAAATGTCATTTGAGGACGTGTTAACAGACCGTATAAGTTAACCACAGCTGTGATTATCTGAGGTAACTACAGTTGAAGTTGGCTGAGTACTGTTAAAGTAAGCCGATTTATCTAGAGACGAGGTTAGCCGAGTTACTGCGGTGGAAGTTAACCGAATATATATATACAGTTGAAATTAGCCAAGTTAACTACGGTCGGGGTTAGCCGAGTTATCTACAGTCGAAGTTAGCCAAGTTAACTACAGTCGAAGTTAGCCGAGTTAAATACAGTCTAAGTTGGTCAAGTTCACTTGTAATTCTGTGATTAGGAAAAACATTATACTCCCGGTGAAAACATTCCGAATGGACCATGTGGTGAGGCGATGAGACCATTAAACGTTCTCATGCGAATCACTCCTCGAAATTTATATATTTGAACTACATGTACATGTACTCCATTTGTAGATTTAGAAGTACTATTATATTTAAATATCATTTCAGATGTCCTGTACGAGATTCCCCTGTATTTGCTCTAACCGGAAGTAATGACTCATACCTTACATCCAATGTATTTGATGCTTTCACAATTAAAGGAAGTTTAGGTCTCATCTTCAGTTGTAGTTTTGAATTCTGTTTTGATTCAAATGAAACGAAGTGTGCTGATGTAAGTTTTTTTTAATTTTGGAATCTGTATAGTTTTATCATACTCACCTTTTCCTTTAACATAGCCGGTGTATACGTAGAACCTTTTCTTATGTGGCGAGTGCACTTTCCTTTGCTCGGTTTTCATGACATATTTGGACTTACTTTGATTTAAATCCCTCTCAAAACATTTATTTGTAAGTAAACGGACCTATGCCACAAGAATCTATTTAAAGCAGTCTTGTTTTTCACGTAACCTCTCTCTTCTCACGATTTTAACACAGTGTTTAAAGCTAATTTTTGATATACTAGAACTTGTTTTACCCATTTGTTTTAATTATACGCCTTGGACTTTAAATTTGTAATAAACAGCAACACCATTCACGTAACTGGATTGAAGGAGAAAACTGTTTTCATCGTTAATCGCTGTCCATTTACCATAGATAAATGTCTCTAGTTTCCATACATAGATATACCAAATATATCGTACATTTATTGGAAATAACACCATATAAATATTTTTGTGGGAATGCATTTAAAATGCCCTACGGACCATTTATTTGATTGTCTTCTTATTAGTATTATCTTTAAATGCCCTGCAGACCATTTATTAGATTTTTTTATTTTAAAAAAGGCCTTCTTTTTTAGTATTATTAATTGTATATTATAGAGATGTAGTGATCTAAGAACTCGATCAGTATTCGAGATAACATCTAGAACAAAACGATCAACAGATGAGAATAGAAAGAGTGGCCAAGCATCAGCTTATTTACTGTTGATACCAAAAACACAGAAAGACAAACAAACTGGTAGGTTATAGTAGGCCCACCAGATTGGTCAAATACGATATTCTGAAAGTTTCAATATGATTAAAATGCAGATTCTATATTTCGTTTCGTTTTTTTATACTACATGGAGATCTGACCGGTTGTAGTGGAAGGTCGCGTCAAAGATCATACGAGCGGCCTTTGACCTATGACGTCAGACATTTGATTAACCAATCAGCGTTGATATTTCTAGTGGGTTACCCACAGTTTCGTGCACCTCACGCCAAAAACTCGCTTTAATAGACCCTTTTCATTGGCTAATCTTTCACATCACACAGAACGCGGGTGGTATAACAACTCTTCCGGATCCCAGTGTAGTAAAGGCAAGTAAAATGAAATTTAAACTATAAAAAACGAAACGAAATAGGATCTGTGTTTTAATCAGACTGTGAAAGATTTTTATAATAATGGGCAGTTGTTCAGTAATTTTGATAAAGTGATGTAAATTTGGTTTGTAATTAATTAAAATTCATATAAACATAAAGATATTTCAACATAATTCGATTAAAGTGATGTAAATTTGGTTTGTAGTTAATTAAAATTCATATAAACATAAAGATATTTCAACATAATTCGGGATCATATATATATAAGAATCTTTGAAAGAACGGTTAAATAGATGAGTAATAATGCAAAAAGAACTTTCTTACATTTCTAATAACGTGATAATGTAGATAACTTTCTTACATTTCTAATATTTTGATAATATAGACAATTTTCTTTCATTTTTAATAAGTTAAGATAATGCACAGAACTTTCTTACATTTTAAATATGTTGATGATGCATCGAACTTTCTTACATTTTAAATATCTTTTTTTCTGAAGTATTTTTAACTACCACCGATTTAGTCTTCTCTAACAGTACAAGTAATGTGCATGTCATTATTCTCCATTACAGATATTAACCACCTCTCTGTAGAATCTGATGATACCGTTTCCAAACACTTGACTGTTATAACTGGTTCCATCTTGGTATTGGTACTGTGTGGAGGTGTGGTCGCTGTCGTGATGCTTGTACGATCTAGTCGCATTAGAACTGTTAGGAAACAAACCAATGTGAAAATAACGGAATAACTCTATAAGAAAGTTAAAATAAGAAATTAAATATTACCAATAATATCGATACTTTCATGTTAAAATCTGTAATTTGTACTTTTGTCTTATCGATAGTTTATATGTCATGAAATACGTTATGGTTCTTTAATAAATTACTACTGCAGTGTCATTTTTGAAAGTTCATTTAACGTCCCCGGATGAAAAGTACAATTTTATTGGTATTCTGTAATGTTTCGATATTAAAGCGTGCGGAGTCATCTCCATTATTATGCTTTGAGTCTTAAAACGTGTGTACATGATATGGGAGTTCATACTGAAATCAGCGCGTAGGATGGGTGTGGTTGTGACAATGATATAACACTGCCAACATTATGGCATATTATTAATGGGGACAGGGCGCCTGTGTCCTGTGGAAGGGCCTTCAGGTCGATGCAAAGGGTCCCGAATATGTTCTCAGTCTTTAGTGCAAAAGCCTTTGCTTCCAGTAAAAAGGAATGTGAGTCATTGGAGAGGAATTTGGTGCAAGGGTTGGAGAGGAGAAATTATAATCTAGCACTTAAGTGACTCAAACAGAGCTCCTTGTCTTTAAATAATACACCTTATCTCTGTATTCCAATCCTCCCAGCTGTAAACGGGTACAGATAGTATGATGTATACAATTACACAGACAAATAACTCTTGCGCTGCGTGGAAAGCGTACGTTGTGGTGCTATTTAATATTCTCGTCACAGATACACCACGCTAAAGCTGCATTTCCTTTAGTACGGATCCGGTCCGGCCCCGGTCCGGTTGCGGATACGGAAAAAAACACTTTCATAGAATGTTGGTAAGAGTGTTTCCTTATGTGCGGGTGCGGATACGGTTCTGTATGCGGCGTCCGGTACGGTTTTTCGAAACGGACCATGTAACGCACGGTACGGAAATGCATGCGGAACCGTGTCTGTAAACGCACATAAGGAAACACAGTTTGGGTAGCCCGCACGGGAAAAAGCTAAAAAAAGGTTTTTTCTTCTTTTACGAACCTTGACAATACCGGTGCCATGTTGAAAAGAGGGCCCTCCCGCTTGAATAACCGCATATAAGGATACATAACCTGCCGTGTGCTATGTCTACTCCCGGACCGGAGCCGGAACGGAGCCGGAACGGATCCGTACTAAAGGAAGTGCAGCTTTAGGCTTAAAAATTCAGCCAGATTGTAGCTGAGAGCGGCATGAACGTGGCTTTATGGCTTCGTCAGCGTAGTAATGCCACAGAGACACTTAAACGATTTTTGTCGCCACAATGCCGCGCAATGCGTCGTGGCAAGTTGTGCCATTTCGGTGGTACGCAGCATCGCGCGAAGCCGTGTTTGCGCCCTGGTCATCTGTTGTACACGTTTAAGTTACGCACAGTCTACGCAATGCGCGACCAAAAAATGGACCGCATTGGTAAGCATTGAGACGCAATGTAACAACTTGTTTACGTATAGGTTAAGTATTGTTCGCGCATTGTTCATGTACCGTACCGGATTGTCCCGTAGATTTCTGAAGTGTCCCTTGCGACGACGACTACGTACATTCGTGAAGTCGCCGTGAAAATTTTTAGTCACGCTTTTTTCCCCTTGGCGACACGCTATGCTTCATTCCTGGACTCGCTGTGGACGATACAGCATGTTGTCCTCATATTCTCAAAGACCGTCTTGCACTGGGCACCTAGAAAATTGGTAGAGGAACAAAATAATAAATACAATAGAACAATAATTTAGTGAAGCGAATTCAGTGACATAATGCACAGCCATTATCACAAAAGAAATCAGACAATAAATCATAATAATTCATTCACAAATTCAAGCAGGGAAGAAGGAAATGAGTGACAAATGTATGCCAGTGGCAAAAGAGGTTTCTGTTGTTCTCCAGCCTTGTAGCACCATAGGTCTTTTGTCTGACGTGGAGAGCGGACGTTGTCAAACCAGTCGCCACATCCTACGTAGAACCCATGCATCTTTTCTTACTACATATTTCTGTAGCCTTGTGATCGTCTAGAATTTGTCTCTAGCTGTCTTTACTTCTGCTTCACGTTGTGTATTTACTTCTTCCAGTTTCTTAAGACGTTTGTCTTACCAGGAATAATAATGCATAGTTCGCTTCTACATTTTATATAGCATATAACTGAATACAGGTATACAAGCATAGCACAAATTACAATACTATATAGCTAAAACCACTTCTCCACCCTATCCAGCCTTTCAGCTGTCTAGGAACTCAGATGTACCCTCGATCTCTGGAATCTAATGCAAGTCTGACTTACAGGGTTCCCCGGTTTCTTTTAAAGGTAAGTGAATATCATGCACAATAACGCGTGATCATGGCCCTGAACTTGTGTAATTAACAAAATGATTGGTTACTTTAAATCAAATAATGCAATTAGAATAATTCCACTCACGTGTAATTCGGTGGTAAATGAGTGGCATATGTTTTCGATAAATCGCTCTTTTTTATGTGTCAACTATCAATTACAGACTAAGTTGATTTAAGTATTTTAAGTACATATCACATATTATGCGAATATGTTATTTCTCGAGCAAAAATTCTACTAAAAGTATTACATTCGTCCCTTTCTTTAAGACTTTTTGCTCGGTATTGGGTAAAAGATCCCTTGAATCCTTTACAATAACCATACCAACATCTGTAGAATTATATAACTATTCATAAATGTAGCAGAAATCTAGAAAATCAACATATATAATTATCACCTCCCCGCCTTCTAAGATTTATGCTAAATGAACAGGTAGGAGACTCTTAAAACGTCTATGTGCTAAACCCTATAATTATTCATGCAACAGGCATATATCAATGATACTATACTATATAACAAAACTGAAAACACAAACACACATAATCAAAAATCAAAAATCAAAAGTTGCATGCAAAAGTTCTCCAAAAAGTTCATCACTGTAAAATCCTATGAAAATTCACTAAGCCTAAACACAGAAAACACAAATTGTCTTTTTTAAATCTTCAAGTGTCCTAATTTCAAAACACTATAACACATCACGTAATGTTTATAAAGTTCAGGTTTCACTTCAAATTCTGTCTCAGGAAATCTCAATTTAGTAAACTGATAAACCATTTCTTCTTCTTGGATTTGTATTGGTCTGTTTCAGCTACCATAGTGTCAAGTTATAACTTTCTTTTTTTCTTCTAAGTATGATTGGTTTGTGCAATTTTATCCGTCAATCAAACATGTCATTGCCATCCGACCAAGAACTAACTATTACTATTTTTTTTTTAAACTTTATGTTGCTATTAGTCTAACATTATTATTAATATATTATTTCGAAAACGTATTAGCAAATCTTACTGTAATGAAAATTAAACTTTATTTAAGTATTAATAAACTTTGAGGTGTCCCTTTAATTAGAAATTTTCAAACTAAGTTTGACCTCTTGACCTAACTCGATCAGTAATTTTATAATTGCGTTTTCTGTTTTAGAATTTCCGTTTGTGTTTTATAATCCCGCCATTATTATTTTATATTTCTCAGTCAGTAATGTGACCTTTTTGACCTAATCATTTACAATTTTGTATTTCGTTTTTTTTATAAACCTTCCTATCAGACTGACACTGACACAAGCTGAGCTGACACTTATGACAATACCAGTGTTACATTTTACCTAGAATAGAACTGTCCATCAAATATGGCCAGTATATGAATGACATTCCATTTTATCCTACAGTACCTATTCTATTATTAGTATTATATAAACATTATTTAGAATCATGTTCAAAGCAAGTGACGTGCACTTCACTCCCTCGGAACACCAGTCTATATTCTAGAAACAAAACAATTAGAACATACCTAACTTTTAATAACACATACAGTTAACTACATCCTATATATTATATTAATGCAATCCGTGACTTTTACACACGTCAAATTTAACACAGTATTAGAACCTATTGTTTATAATAATCTGACCGAATGTCAAATTACACATTCTAATCATCTCGTGTACATGTCGAAAGCTTAAAGCAATTAGCAGTATATATTAAACGTTAATATTACGTTTCTAAAGCAAAAATTTAATTACATAAAATTATATACGGACAAAATCTACCGTATACTCCACTTTTCTAAAAAGTGTCATATTCTTAACTTTAACCTCCTATTAAACTCGTATTGATGACTTTGTGATAATCTCACAATTTAACGAGCCTTTAATTTTAGTTTTTCCCCAGGAAAACTATAACCAACATCCCTAGATTAACCATATGGGATTTTCAACATAACCCAACTCTTTAATCAAAAGTTAAATTACAACAACTCTAAGGCCTGGACTAAGGACCTCAAAATTATATAGCTGAACACACATATATACGAAACAACACAAAAACACAAATTAACGAATCACAGTAGAAACCACGGCCAACTAGGAAACTGGAGTTAATCACTCACAAATTTCATCCTTAGCTCCGCCTTCTTTCTCACTGCGATCCGGAGACAACATTAGTTCCTTATTTTATTCCCTATTCCGTTTCCTTATTATTCCTTAATTATATCAAAACATTTTTTTTTTAAAACCTACTCCCTAAAGACCCTCACTTTAACTTTAATTTTACTCTAATTTACTACAGGTCATGTTAACCTGGCAATATACATACGTAACTCATGAAATTATATTGTTTAATAAACCTATCAATCTAAACTTATGAATGACTCTAATTTATTCTCTATACAGTTAAATTTTAAATACTTAGATTCTAATCAGATTTTAACTTTAAATTAATATTATTTGGTCTTTAAACAAATTTAACACATTTAATTTACCAAACAAAATGTATTTACCCAATTTTTCGAATATCCCCACCAGATTTTTTTTTTTCCACCATAATTTTTCTGTTGCTGGATTGTACAGATCTTTTTTTCTTCTTAACATCTTCAAATATGTATTCTTCTTCTAAAGTGACTTCTTACCCCAAAGGTATCAAATTAGAATATGTAAGACTATGCAGTGCGAGGCAGTCACTGATTAGATGTGGAAAATATGTGATGCTTACTCTCTTTTCTTCTAATCTTCTTCCAAATTTTCTGCTTACCCTAAAGGTCGAAACTGTCACGGCAACCAAATAGAATATGTATTCTTCTTCCAGGTTACTCGATCTCGTAGTCACGTGCACCAAATAGAATATG